AAAAATATATATAATGTTTTTATATAAAATTAAACATTACATATGTGCAAAAATTGAGAAAGAGAATTTGAAGATTCTCATTATATCTTAAAATGCAATTATAATTAAATCTTTAAATTTATCATGATTAAAAATTCAATTGCTTTAGTTTGAAATGTGTCATTTTGGCTAAAAATTTCTAATTTTAAATAAATCTCTGTAGATAGTCTAGAGCAATCTGAACAACTTTCGGACGTGAAATGTTCCAGTGAAGGCCGTAGTTGTTTCTCGCAAGTTGCGCGTTTTTCGGTCGACAGTTACTAGACAATCGATAGCTAGCCGATCGATCAAAGAATGCGTGTGCACGCACACACGTCGCGATACTCGCGGTTCATAGCTGTCAGCTGTCATCGCTGTCGTTTGCAACACGAGTTGCAGGAGCTGTCAAAATGTTCGGTGAGTATGGCAATTTACGCAGCTAAAATCTTTCTTATTTTCGAAAGACGCTGGTCGAATCTTTTATCGGACAGCGCGTCACGTCGACGTGCATTTATTCTTATTTCCTTTTTTTTTTATCAGGCTGTTGCTGGTGTTGCGCTGCGTTACGTCCGAGGTACAAGCGGCTCGTCGACAATATCTTTCCGGTTAATCCGCAGGTGAGATCTCCGGGTCTTCTTCTCCTTTTCTTTCCGTTTTTCTCGTCTCGTACAGTTCGTTTCTTGTCCAGGATGTTTTATAGTTTCCTTCGCGAGTAAATCAATACCGAAACGCTGTCCTTGACACCAAGTGGGAGACCAAAATGATTATTCTATTTATGGTTGAACCTGTGATATTTGCGGCGAATGAGAAATCGAATTGACACGTGTCCCACACGCGACGATCAGTATTAACACGCTTCTCTGTTCTCCAGGATGGCTTGATCAAGAACAATATGGAAAAACTGACATTCTATTCATTGAGCAGTCCTGAGAAGTTAGACAGGATCGGGGAATATTTGTTTCAACGAGCTTCCAGGGATATTTACAGGTGATGTAGAAAAGTGTGATATAATAACATCTTTCGTTAGCGTAATATACACAAATGGTTACGTTGTAATGCTGGTTATATAAATAATTATATGCTGCTGTGTACATAAGAACTAGAGAAATTAATCCTAATGACTGCTGCAAACATGACTGGCAATTATTCAGTACATCTATACATTGCATCTATAGTCTCTATACATGTAACGAGAATCCTGCCTGATAAGGAATTGTGTTCTTGATAGGAGACGAAATGGCTTTGTCATTATCGCCATGGAAGCAATGGACCAGCTCCTGGTAGCTTGTCACGCGCAAACTTTGAATCTGTTTGTCGAGAGCTTCTTGAAAATGGTACAAAAATTGCTGGAGTCCACGGATCCTCAGTTACAGATTCTCGCAACACAGTCTGTAAGTGATAATCATTATTGGTAGATTAGACATATTAGCGTTGCTGATTCTATCTGATTCGACGTATCGACTTTCAGTTTGTCAGATTTGCCAATATCGAGGAAGACACGCCCTCATATCACACCCGTTACGATTTCTTCGTGTCGAAATATTCGGCAATGTGCCATTCCAATAACGACGATCCCACTACGCGCAAGCAAATTAGGCTTGCTGGAATTCAAGGACTGCAGGTACGCATTTGTAAACCTGCATGCACATATTCAAATGTATATTCAAATATATATCTTTTGATATATAGGGCGTTGTGAGAAAAACTCTTTCCGACGACTTGGTGGAGAATATTTGGGAGCCTGTACATATGGACAAGATTGTACCATCGTTGCTGTACAATATGCAAAATTCACGGTAATTTGAAAGAAACGAATTATGTTATGAATTGTTGAATGATATGAATTGACGAGTGAGTTATGAAACGCGCACGTTGACGTATTTCTATCTTTAGATACGCCGATAAGGAAGACGCAACACCAGACAGCCCAACCGAGGAACGATCAGATCCACCGCAATTTGCGGAAACTTGCATGAGAGAATTGATCGGACGCGCATCGTTTGGTCATATTAGATGCGTTATAAGACCTGTATTGAGGTATGGAATGGAGTCTCTCAGAAATTAATATACATGCAAGGAATCTTTTAATAATTATCTATGTTATAGGCATCTGGACAATCACCAGTTATGGGTCCCGAACTACTTTGCAATTCATACTTTCAGAATAATTATGTTCTCCATTCAGGTACTTAACGATATAAATCAAGTAATATTTGACACATTGGATAATTAATAATATTACTTTGATGTATATTTTAGTCGCAATATTCCTACACTGTAGTGGAAGCTTTAATGACACATCTTGACGATCACTCAAAGTCATCCCCTAAGATTCGCACTAGTATTGCGGATACTTTGTCTAAGATTATATCAATTGCCGCAGGTGAAAGTGTTGGTAAGTGGGTATAGAAAAGTTAAATGAATTCGGTATAAATTCTACTGTCCAATTAATGTAGATTTATATACCGTTTTTATAACCGATAATTATTAGCGTACAGCGAAAATTGAATCCTGCTGTCGCTAAGCTCTTTTTAACGATATACGTTCTTTTTCTAGGACCATCTGTATTAGAGATTATAAATTCCTTATTGTCTCACCTACGAGTTAGTGTAACGAGAAACCAATCGTCAAGTAGTGACGAGCAATTATATCAAGAAGCTCTTATTAACGCTCTTGGAGAGTTCGCGAATCATCTTCCGGATTACCAGAAAATTGAGATTATGATGTTCATTATGAGTAAAGTTCCATACAGTCAGCCAGATCGTATCGTATCGGTCGGCAAAGGAGACGTATTGCTCCAGAGCATACTTTTAAAGTCGCTATTAAAGGTAAATTATTTATTATCGCATAAAATTATATAAACGTAAGCTGTAAGTTTTATTACACAGGTATTTTATTTATATACAGGTTGGCACCAAATATAAAACTATCCATTTGAACACAACATTCCCGCCTAGTTTCTTGGAGCCATTACTGAGAATGTCACTGGCAGCAGACGCTGAAATGAGACTTCTTGTACAGAAAATATTTCACACTTTAATTGACAGACGGCGAAATATTACAATACTCGCTAAACCAACGTAAGTTTATCTCTTAACAACAAATCTGATCAACAAACGTTGATCTATTATATACCGTTCTTTTTCTTTTTTTTTCAACTCTGGGAATAACTTTTCTTTCTTTCAGTGTGAACGTAGCGGAGCTCGGTCTTGCTATTGAAAAGGCATCCAGACCTGATGTAATCTTTATTCGGAAGCACGGCCCTGAAATCTACTTAGCATTGTACGAATCATTAGAGCTATCTAGTAACACAGTAGAAAATGTGGAATCTATTTATACCACCTTGGCGTTACTTGCCATTGAATTGGCTTCCGAGGAAACGGTGTTGGAGTTACTGAGATTGGTGCTGAGCTTGCAAGACTTGGCACTAACAAGTGCTCAAATTAGTCTTCCACTTAAATTCAATTTACACGCAATAGTTATCAGTCTACTAATCTTAATATCGTACGTCTGCAATATCACCGCTCTTATGGATTATGCAAAGAAGGTAGGTAATTTCAAATTGTCAACCTCCAGCAATTTATTTTATATTAAAATTACCGATGGACTGCTAAGAATAAAATACAATTAATCGAATAAATGCGTTTTAAGGTGGTGGAAGCGCGTCGAAATGATAGTCCGCATTTACTACCGGATTTAAAATCTCAATACGATACCGGTCTAACATCCAGATTAGCGCCAACTCTTTTGGTTGATCAAACTGTTGTCAGCGAATGCCTAAAGGGAGCCGGCCTTGATAGTGGGAAATTACAACAAGGTTCAGGTTACAGCGGCAATTCTTTACAACACAGGTAATTATCTACTAAGTGTGGTGATCGATAGTCAGCCGTAGACGTTAAGCACTAGAAAATGTCGTTTTATTTTATATATATCTAAATTTTATAATATAAAATTAAATTTTCTTTGCTAGGCATTCATGGGTTGATAATACTGGGCGGAATTCGCTAGCCGACATTAATTCTGGAGGTCCCGAATTGGATAGCGGAGGTTCATCACCTGGTGTGCAAAAGGTGTGACTTACATTTACTTTAATTTACACTGAATTAGAAGGGATCTATGATTATTTATTACGACTATTATCATTTTTCTAATTTTGTGGATTATTATTGCACAATTTTAATTCTTATTTTCTTATATGTAATTAATTTCTTGCAGAAATTACCCGGAGAAGAATTAACGTTTGAGAGCATGAAAAGAATTTTGACAGAGAATAATAATAATGAAATAGTGGAAGAAGAGAAGCGAATGCAGCTTTCTGAGTTCTTTAGAAACGCACCATTCCAGGAATTAGTATCAAAAACACAACCGAAGGTTCATTAACTGGCATATATATTATTGACAATTATCGTAGCTAGTGCAGATTTTTAATCTTTCCTTTTCTGTTCGCAGCACGATGTTCTACAGAGCAAATTGTCAGAGATATTTAATACGCTGTCTGTTGATCCGCGCAACACAGTTCCTACGACCGGACCACAGACAGATACTAAACCAAGTCAAACCCCAGCTTATGAAATTCATTTCCCCGAGCTGTTTGTATATTAAACTGCTAGTATTCTTGTTGCATTAACATTAACGTAGTGTCGCATTATATATTAAGTCCCCTATACGCGTTACAAATATGAATAGTAGCTTCTATATTTTAAAGATTGAGTTATGTACATAATAGAGAAACCATTTTTATGTTTCATATTGTTAGATATATATTTTTCTTGAGGTTGATAAGTTGTTCGTACTTATTTACTTTTAATATATGAGTAGATATCAAATGACATGTGAACTGTAATGAAAACGGTTAATTAGTACTTTTATAAAATCATCAATGGTTTTATATATCAAATGATATGTAAAGATACATGAATTTCTTATATACACAGGATTCTATAGAAGCATTCAAGATTTTATAACGTTACCGAATTAACTGTTTTCATCAGTATAGGCTGACTCTGACTAATACGTCGATATCTCAGTGTGAATTTAGAGCACAAAACGAACAAAAAAATTTCACACGAGTATTGACATGAAAAAGTCACTCTATATATAAATCAGGTTTCAGCAATTAAGACTAAATAATCTGGATGTATACGTTTCGACAGTAGGCCAGTTAAATGTGCACTGTTATTTAATCCTACCTCTTGTTAATGTAAAGTTAAAAATTGTATATCTGTGTATATCTCTTTATGTATATTCTAGATCGGAAAAAAGAATTTTCTCTCACGGCAGAGTGATTGAAAAATGTTGCACAATGTATATTTATAAATATAGAAAATGGTTCGAAATATTTTGTAAATATATATATATTAAAACGCATGTTAACCTGGAAAAAGATTTATTATATTGCAATGCTTATCCTTCTTACATTTATCTCCAGTTCGTATAATCATATGTATGAGAAAGAAGATTTATACATTTTTTTTAGGGAGCAGAGCAACTTTTTTATTGTACTTTGTTCTATGTAGTGTTTTACATCACCAATTGTTCTTTCCTTTATTGAATCTTTGTACAAAATACTCGAAGGATCACCAAATACGTATGTAAATGGAATGAACACAGGTTACATATTTCGCAGAGATATATCTGGAGGGTCCCTTTATTCAACCGCTCATCATAGGAACACGGTTAGTCGGTCACAAATCAAGTACACAAATTAAGTAGCATCTCTTGGAGAGCAGGTAATCAAACTACACATTAATATACCTTACAGTTCTAACTATGCGACAATGTTCGAATATTATTGATCGGCAATTTATACATTGTATAAATTGCACGTCGTTTCTACGCGAGATCGGAGAAACGTTCTCAACGTTTTATATATTACTTCGCGAAGATCGCAAATATAGCTTTTATAATGTACGAGCGATTGAATTAAGGCATTAGAGTAGGATGTGCCATTCGTGCGACGACTACTTAACATAATTTGATGCGTTTCTGTTTTTTTTTTTCCTTTTTCTTTCTCGTATTGAAATGCGTTTGGTCAAGTTTGGTACACTCTAAGAGGTATTTCAAGGCTCCACCTTCAGCAGCTCCACATCGAAGATGAGAACGGCATTTGGTGGGATAGTGTGTCTCTGTCAAGGCTAATATAAATTTATCGCCTGTTCTTGTTTTCATTAAATAGAATAATTGTACTAAATAATTAGCGTTTGATCTTTATTCTACGTTATATCGTTTAGCATTAAAGGATATATTCCAGGATGACCTCGGCTACCGTAAGCGAAGTCTGGAGAGCAGGTTAACCTGGCCCGCTGGCCGACGCACATTTGCGCGACTCCTTGGTCCCAGCCTTTAATTACTTCGCCCTTTCCGATTTTGAACTTGAACGGTATGCCGCGGTCCCTGCTGGAGTCAAATTTCTTCCCATTGGCGAGGGTACCTGTAAACACGTCAACGAAACTAATTATATTTTTACACAATCTTACAATTATTATCTATAGAACTCTCGATATTATAATGACTTTATATAGCGACAGTTTTCTCTTCTAATTTCTTTTTCTTGGCTGTTCCATCGTTCCTCCCCTATTATATAAATATAATTCAAAGTATCAATCCTATCATCTTATGCGATAAAATATTCACCTGTATAATGCACGACCACTGTCTGCCCGGCCTTTGGGTAGGTCTGACCTGCACATATAAAAATATTCGTGAAACAACATCGGGGGTGACGAAACCGAGCACGGCATCGCCATTTAAAATTGGTAACGGTGCGTAAATAAGGTAAAGTCGTGTCGTCGTTCAGGAGCTCCCATTTTATTTTCAATAGGGAACAACGCGGCATCGGCCAACGCTCGTTCGCGGCATTTCAGGCCACAACCAGAGGCGCGAGTTAATTTAACGAGACGCTAAAATTTCGGAGCATCGAACATGCGGCATGGCGCGAGCGCGCGCGCGCGCGCGTGAGAGAGACAGAGAGGGAAAGAGGGAAAGAGAGAGATTAAAGCAAAATGGGAGAGAGAGAGGTTTTCCCGAAGGGAGCGAGACCGACGAGAGTCCCTAGAAAAATAAAACCTGTAATAATTACCGTCTCCAGGACTCAAAACTTCGACATCCACGCCCATGGCTACGTGCTCCTCTTTCTCGGCGTCGAAAGGCGGAAGGTTCTCCCCTCGGGATGGCGAGGTGTGCGCGCGAAGAAGATCGTCGAGACTCGTCGAGGTCGATTCACGTCGGAGGAGCCTGGGTCGGGCGAAGCCAAACTCACCGTAGAAAGGAACTATTCGCGGCGCCTCGAGAAACGACACCGCTCCACTACGCCGTTCAATGAATACAGGCTGAGCGCACGAAATCACCTAGAGTACCGTCCGACGCGCAGGAATATGTACGCCGAATATGCAGGCCGGAAGGTGACGTGGTTCGCCATTCGGTGTAAATTCTTGTCCAGAAAAATAAGCGAACGCGCCAATGTAAATTAACTTCAATCTTTCTTATTTTTAGAATTATAAAAAGTAAGTTAAACCTTTTAATTTTTATATCTTTATCTTTTCATCTCTTTCTAATTTTATTTTTGGAACTTAAATTTATTTTTAGAATCAGAAAAAGATAAAAAGAGTAAATTAAACCGAGATTGAAGTTAATCTACATTGGTAGAGATGGAGATAAGATATTTCTTCGACGGTTTTGTTGTCGCGCGAATAGCTATTATATAATTATTTAGTTTAATTTGAATTTATAGTCTTTGCGTAATCATATATTATACGTTTTCGGACCGTTTGGAAATGTGGAACGTTCACTATCTAATAGGAGCTAGGATATCTGTTTCCTAGATACTGAAATAATATATTAATTAGAGTCTCCAGATTTTTATATATATATACGCTTTCCCGTGGACATCTGAATCGCATAGAAAGTGAAATCTTTATTAAAAAAAGAAAACATGCTTAGACCTCATTATCTTCTCTTGCTTTGAATGAAACTATATATGCAGGAACTGTGATTCAGATGTACTTGTGATAAAAACATTATTTCTTTTTAACATTTGTCCATGCGCGCCGCTTATTAAGATTTTAATTTTCGGAATTTCAGCTCGATTAACTTTCTCGTCGGAATATACCTGCCCCGATAACTTGGATCTTTTGAAAATTTCGAAAGATCCATATTTCCAATCTTCGTTATCTCGTATCGAGATAATAACTTCGATGACTCCTCAACTTCTCCAATTATCTTTCGCGCACTCGAACCAGAATAAAGGATCGATCTCGATTAAAGAAATAATAAAACGATAAAACGTGACGTATGCGAAAATCGTATCACGAGGAGGCCGCGATAAGCCATCTACTTAGCGATAGATAAATTAATCGTTATCTGACAAAAGTATTAATCATCGTCATCACAGTCACACACATAAATACGTACACAGATGCTATGATAAAAATCGGAGCGATATTATTTAACATCGTCTGCGATCTTCAATTATCCGCGCAATAACGTCAGCATTTATATTTAGATTTATTTGCGTAATTTCCAGGTACACGGCAGAGCTTGATTAGCAAAATTAATAACGGCGCTTCAGATAGACACTCATTCGATTGTATCAATACTTATTTATATATATCTATACATATATATGCATATAATTTTCTATATATATATTATATCGTAAAATTATATGTATAGTTATATATATAAGATATATGAACCATATAGTAATACATGTAATCTATACATATTATATTAAATTATTATAAATATTATATATATATATAAATATTCTCTTCGATTTTTAAAATAAACACTCAAGGATAAATATCTCTTCTCTCACTGCAATCGCACGTCGTTTAATTTAAAATCTTAAGATTCTAACGAGATAAAATATCAACGGTCCGATCGCGTATTAGCAATTCTCCCCTGCGAACAGCTAACAAATCTCTGGAATCAGGTGATCGCCCGTATATCATTGCCCTCATCTAATCGAATCAGCAATATATATATCTTATCAGAATTCACCGGTTCAAGACCCCCGTTAACTCGCCACTCGAATTTTTGCGTTGCGCGATCGGACGGTCAATCTCTCATCTCCCTGTTGTACAGAATTGCAACATATACCAGAATTATACCATATTATATATTGACGCTCGAGTGATTGTTCCAGTGAATGGCTCTCCATGATGTTAAATATTACACATTCCCCCTAGGCCTCAACCGTGGCTCTCGACGTGACTCCACGTTGAACTGAATTAAATCACGTTTTGCACACGCAGCAATATTTGCGAATACTGAAAGAATTGTCAAAAGGTCGCATATGACGCTCTCGCGCCGATCCTCGCATTAAAAGTATCCGCGATCGTTTTGTTTGCTACGCCAGCAAATCCCGTCCGCAGCATCTCTCTTCGTGATGATAGAAAAACGATGCGCACGAGGCAAGCATGTGTATCTTACAGGAGAGAAGATTGTAAGAGGAAAAGAGGAAAACTCACATCTTTCCGAGAAATCTGGGAAAAGCCACTCGTTAAATCTTTCTTACAATCGAATGATAGATATCAAATGTTTTATGTGAAAATTACCCGCACGAGAATCCAATATTTCCGACTCGATATCGGTAAGAATGGAAGAATTGCCTCCAAGTTCCTCGCATACACTTGCTATACTTAATTTATGCGCATAGGACTTACTGAAGCAAGACGATTAATAGGATAATAAATGTAATATACATGGAATTGTACATACTGATCTTATATTACGTTTATTACTCGATTATTAATCATGTGATCGATTGACAATAATAATAGTTACGATAATAATATTAATAATATTAATAATGATAATAATAATAATAGAGTAATAAAAAATTAATTTTCTTCGGTTCTTGTGACAGCTGCCTCAATGCCGTAAAGTTCCTAGCAATCCTACAGAGTTTATATTTATTTTATGCAAATATTTCAGAGACCGCATTTGTGTGCCTCGTATAGTACACATGTTGTACAGTCAATTTTCTTTTTTTTTTTTTAAATACATTTTCTAATAATTTTCTTTTTTTAACAATGCTCCACAATATCAATTAAGAAAAGAATTAATGGAAAAATGCGTTAACTTGCCCCGAGTAACACGCCCAAGCCTTTTAATGAAATTATTCACTTATCTTGAATATTCAAAACTAAATTGTAACATGTTTAAATCAACGCTCTCTACGTATGGCCGCCTCATTTATCGTATACGGAAAGCATGACAAATCTTTCTATTGTTAAATTGACGTTTGCTCGATCTGTGTATAAATCCATGCCAGAAACAAATTATAGCTTCTATATTAAATTGTTCTATATTAAATGCGTTGAAGAATTGCAGAAAACAAAATAATGAGCAAGATAATTGTTACGAGCAGTTCTCTTTCTGAAACACATCGACTTTTATAATCAGAAATATACGTAGAAACTATAATACGTTTCATTACACAGATAATATACATGGAAACATGTATGTCATGTAAATATCTACCATATTTTTTATGCATTATGCGATAGGAGAAATACATTCACGAGTATTATTCTTCGACAGTAACGTCGTAGGAGCCACGTTTAGCATTCTACTTAGTTTATAATTCTTAATTATTAATAAAGTAAACGTATCTTTAATAAAAAAGCAAACACAAAACGTGATTTCAAATCATTATCTGAGAAAAGCAAATTGTATGTCAAACTATCTTAAAATCGATATATGCAGATACGTTTTTGTGCATGAAATTATATGTACGTAATATTTCAAAAAATTTTAAAAAAGGTAAACGAGAAATATATTATGTCGCTTGAAAATTATGTTTGAACATTTACCATTTCTTTTTCCATTAAATTAAAAGAAAATAAAATTGTTTTACACAACAATTGAATGCTGTTCGTTTTGAAATGCAAATACGTATTCCCAAATTTGTAAAACTTTTGTGAGATAATCAAATTAATTCAGTGGCGCCTCGACATACTCAAAGATAAAATGCGACGGCGTATTAGGAGTATCCGTTAATATTTCGGGCGGTGCTAATTCCATTGGATGAGAGTCCCTCCACGGATCGATATCATTTCCTCCAATATCTAGTCCGAGTCGCAAATTAGTTGGTGTATTGCCGATAACAAAGTGGTCTTCGGTTAAAGGTAGAGCGTCTTTCAATAAAAGCCTACAAGGAACATCAATATAAAATTATTTCAGTCTTCATTAAACAGAAGAAACGTACTGGTCAACGAAGTAGCGTGACCATAATAAATATGATTTCCTTACCAAATATCTTCGTCAGAGACAATATGAACCTTAGGAATGGGAAATCCATTAAACGGTGAAGCAACAGGCAATGTATAGGCCCCCATGTTTTCGAAAATCATCCATTCGCCGAGTTCCATATCGTGCAACATGATGTTCTCAACGATTTTGTCCAGTCCATCACACGTTGGACCCCACACGCTTGAAGGAATCATCTTTCCACAACCATTCTAAAGACAAAAAAATTAATTCAAATGCTAATTTAAAAAAGAAGAGCGCGGAAAAATACTACGTTGGTACTTTATCTGAATAAATTACTTTACCTTAAGGGGAATCGGAGTTACATGCTGGTGATCGTACAGCAGACAATTGAATGATCCATAAACACCATCGTTGATATAATACATATTATGCATAATAGCGTTGGTATTTTCATCTCCGCGTATAGCACGTTTGCTATGGATACTCGTTGCCAATGTGAATGCAGATGCAACATAAAAACGACCCGGTTCGGCAATCACATGCACAGCATCAGCTGGAAAAATTCTTATTGTAAGATGCGGTTCAAAACGAACTATATTTGTGTAACTAACGAGGAGAAAGCAGCTTACTGTTGAAGTATTCGTCGAGGGCTTTATTAATAATGTCGGCGACTTTGTCGATGCTTGTGCCTTTGTCGCCCGGATAGCCGCCACCAAGATCCAAGAGGTACGGCTTAAAACCGAGATCGCTGGCCATATCGAATAACAGCTTGCAATGACGAATAGCGCGATAGTATACCGGTGGATCTTGACATCCGGAACCAACGTGAAAACTGAAGCCCACTACGTTAAGACCCAAGTTATACGCAAGGCGTAAGAGATTAGGAGCCTCGTGTATCGGATCACAGCCAAATTTCATGCCAAGCGGGCACTGCGCTACTTCCGCGTCGCAACGAATCCGCAAAACAATCTGCACAAATGATGAATTGCATTGATATAATGCAGATACTTTCAAGATAAAATTACAACTGTTTGAAAAAAATATCCAATATTTAGTATTTACTAAAGTTATATGGTAGCGTGCAATTACCTTAGCCGTTGGGAAAAGTTTCTTAATTTTGTGCAGCTCGCTTTCATTATCTACTGTCATAGTTTCTACTCTCACTGCAGCGGCGTGACGAATATGTGAAGCTGGCTTGGCTGGATTAGCAAAAATAATTCTTGAAGGCTCTACACCAAGACTCAATACTTTATTTATCTCATTCTGCAAAGTAAAAAAATATTTTTTTTATATGAAATGTACCTGTTAACGTATGATAAAAAATACATTTTAATATTTAGTATTTAATCATATTTACTTTAGATGCGCAATCAAAATTGACGCCAAGGGCCGCTAATACTTCAATTACGATCAAACTGTCGTTACATTTCACGGCTGAAATTGAAGAACTTCTATGAGTAACCATACATCATACAATTTCGTACACGACATAAAGTTCCAAATGTTAATGACTTACCGTAATAGGGGTCAACTCGTGGCAATTTTTCTTTCCAGATTTGATGCTTTTGTACAATATCCCCTATATCCAGTACATAGAAAGCTTCTTCTTGTAAACCACTCATTGCAATATCTTTGATAACGGTCATGACGTTGGACTCACTGTCCAAGACGTGGATACGTTCATCTAGATTTGTTACCTTCATGTTGATTGAGTTTAATTGAATTGATTAGTACTCTGTAGGTGCTAGGCAGCAAACTGAAAGTTAAACAATTAGATAATAAGTATAAACGCAAAACTAATCAACTTTATATTCTGTACGTTGCAAAATAAATTTGGTATAACAAAAACGTACGAGGCAGCTGTCAATGCTAATCGGGTGTGTCGTGAGGAAGCGGATTAAGACAAGATCACTGTGGGGGTGCTAGCAAAGCCACGGGGGCTCTGCATTCAGGGCCAATTTCCAGTTGCCGCAGTTATTCAAGCACCCACGAACAGACTGGTCGACCAGCCTATCGCAGATAGAACCCTGCAAAAGAAAACAAGTGACCTCTGAATTAACTAAATATTGATTAAAAGATTTACCATATGGAAAGTATCAATATTGTCATAGTCTACGCTAATTTGAGCCAAAAAAACAAGGATTTGAAAATAAAAGTAAGCAAATACTTTATTAATAAAGAAGGGGAAAACGGCTGTTTAAATGCATGTTCATAAATTAACATATGACGTGCTAAAATATTTCTACCACATATCGGCTAGAATTTTATCTTATCCGTTTATCTTAATTTTATCAGAGCCGATATTTTCCCTGACATTAAAGTGATATATGAATCACAAGAAAAAAAATTAATGTTACATTTTTAATTTAATTTGCCCATTCTTTTTTACATGTTCTCAATAAATATATGAAAATCTACTGTGTCTTTGTTAGACTTTTACTTGATGAAATATAATTAGATCCTACCTGAAGCGAAGTAATTCTCGTTTTTTTATACACACTGCAGAAAAATTAATTATGTCACTGTTTAGAAGTACAACGTTTCTAAATTTTAACGACTCCTCTATCGCGTTGCATATATGTGCGCGAAGCAAAAGTAAAATAATGTTCCACGAACTATTTGGAACGTAATATTACGTGTTACGTTACACGCATTATATGTGAAAAACTTGGTTTAACGAGATCCGAACAGACAGAAATTCAGAACGATACTGCACTCGAGACTACTATTTGGGCCTTTATTTATATGAAGAAGATAAGTAGTATCAGCCCGTCTTTGCGTGGTGTACCAAGTCTACTTATACAAAATTATCTTACAACCAAGATGGTTCATAAAACAGGAAACCGAATTAGACTGGAAGGATAATATAAAATGTTACTCAAGAGTCAAACTCCACTTGAGGGCGGGAAATACCACCACTAATCTACGCAACGAGACTGATTGTTTATCCGAAGCTGTATCGAAGATTGGCGTATCACAAATCGAATGTCCTTAATAAGCTAAAAATAACACGCGAACACTCCACCAAGAAAGTAAGTGCTATCCAATGATACAAAATACAATAATGCGAAATACGATACAAAAACTTGCATTCACATTTTTCATATAAATATCGTAAGATATTGCATGATTCCAAAAACATGTGTGCAGAATTGTCTCTTACTATAAAAGTACGTCCATCAGAATAAGTTTTAAATACTCTATAAATTATAAAAAGATTTCTCTTTTAAGATAGTTTCCCGTACATGCTATAAACTTCCTTGGTACATGTTAATAAAGCAGATAGGAATAACTTTAAATTCTTGCTTCCTGATGCAAAAAAATTTAATAACATCCAATTGTACATGGAGGTCTCGTAAGGTTGAGATTGATAATTCCTTGTTTCATCAAACAAACTCACATACAAAGGGGCGTTATTACGTAACATAACAATGGCTTCCGCCGGTTTGAAGAGGAAATACTGGTCGGAGTGAGATAGTACAAGTCTCAAGATACGAGTAAATACGGCTACTGGCCATTCTGCAGACATTGATGTTAAGACACGTGGTGCGAAATGAGCAAAAGAAACTGAAAAACATGTCTTATCATCGTCTTATACAGATTATAAGTTTTCACGTATGTTGCAAGGATAATATGCTTTAATAATGATTAGTTTGTCGAAAAATATACATAAGAATTATATTACAAGATACGATTTGTGGATTAACGAAATTTATCTCTCTTCCGTATTCGAGATTCGGTCTTTATTTTATCATTGAGCAAAACAAAGTATATGTTGAAAAAAAAAGTTAACGAAAAATTCTAAATATATAATTGTTTGTTGAATTTTTTATTTTAAAGTATTTATAAACGTTTTAAAACGTTTTGAAACCGTCATAAAATTATGTATAAATTCGAAAAAAAAAAAATACATTACGAAAAAAAAAATACAGTTTATATTTTCATAAAAACAATATTTCCCTGAGTCCTTTCGCGAGCACAGTGTATACTTTCAAGAAAACTTGAGAAAAGAAATGTAAATATCCTCGCAAAAAGCAATATTGACATTGTTGGCAAAATAACTATGTTCTTAGCAAATAAACTTCATTTTGAAGTTCGAAACTTCGATTTAAAGTAGACTTCGAATAATCTTGGTAAGATAGCGACCCCATACTGTTTGCATTGTTAAAGAATGGTTTCTTTACGATACAGTTTATCATTACATTCCCCCACCTCCCCCTTCAACCACTGAATTCGAATTCGATTGAATGTATCTCAGCTGCGATAAGCAGAAGCATGAGAAGTACAATTACAAGTACAGAACCTTCAAAAATACACTGCGAAAGGTGAAGCAAAATGAAATTATCCTCGATATTGCACGGAACAATTCTTGGAGTAAGACGTGCTCCGCTTTGACATACCTGCGTGATATCTGTGTGTACATACATTTCTGTGACATTGTATTTTGTTTATATACATATGCCATCTCCCACTTATGCTACACCTCTCATGTCTCCTTACAGTGCCAGACTATAGTTTTTTTTAGGTTCTGATAAATATTTCCATATTTCTCACTTTAATAATTTAATACTGAGAAGATTATCAAAATTCTTGACTCACATCATTCTAGGAATTCGTGTGCATACTAAGTACATATTTTAAACATGAAGTATATGTAACAATATTTTAAACGTAACAAACATTAGTAGTCACTCAAATAATTTTTAATTTTCCATATCTAAATTGTGTGCAACAATTATACTTTACTTCAATATTAACAGGTAAGATTTCAACATGTTGCACAATTACTGAGAAACGTCAGTGACGCAAACACATACGTTATCTTCTACGCTATAAAAATGTAATAAATGAGTCACGGCCGTTATAATGACAGTCAAATAAATAGAAAATGTGCCAGTATCTGATCGGGTTAAATCTTTTGTATCAAATAATATTCTTCACGTGGATTTATGTACAAATTCTGTTTAGCAAACTACGCGCCAAAGACTGTCGATCTCGAAGCTCAATGTCAGTCTCAAGTTGAAGCTAGAATAGTACCGTCGCATAATTAAATTGACAATCAATTTAATCACGCCGATATTCATTATTAATTATCAATTTAAATAAATTTAATTATGCGACGGTACTATCCTAGCTTCAGTTTTAGACTGCGTTTCGAGTATTCGGAGCATACTCCGAGAAATTGTACATATATACATAAAGTGACTACGAGAAATCACCGGGGAAAGCGTATTAATCGGTGAACTTCGAACTGGACGAGCCAGTAAACAGAAACCGCGCGCTGCGATTTCAACAGGGCTCGACCTGCGGTATCGTTACGCAATTATCGCGGGGGTCCCTTCCCCCGATAAGGAGGGAAGCACGAAGAAAGCTGGGAAAGAGATCTTATGAGTCATCGGCTCGCGAATGAAGATCTCCACGTGATCGACGAATCGTTCTCTCCCTCGTCCTCTTCGTCCCTCCGCCCTCGCTCCAGGGGGGGGGGGGAATTGGTGATCGGGGTAATCCGCGGGGAATCTGCGGGGGATCCGCGTCAGCGGACACGCTCGCAAATACGTACCTTATCAAACGATCGCCACCCTGCGGGTCGGCACACGGTTATTGACGGAATGATGGAAGTTTTCGGTGACCGGATCGCAAAAATCAGTCAGATCGATCGTCGGGCGTGGACCGGCGGGTTGCCGTAGCCCACGATGGTCGTCGTCGTCGTTGTCGTCGTCGTCGTCGCCGCCGCCGCCCAGCCGCCGATTCCTCGCGCAAACGATCCCCCGTACGGCGTAACGATGATGAACATCCGCTCCGTTCGCAACGCGTAAAAACGTGGGTCCGTTTTACGCGCCACGTGCGAGCATCGCAAAACCTTCGTCCGTCTACCTTAAATCTTCAGGTCGTGGAAGGTCGTCGCCGCCGCCACCGCTTCTCAGCCACGATTTCACCCCGGAGATAAGGAGAGAAGCCTGGAATGCGACGCTCGCACGAAACACACCGCCAACCGCCAGACGCTCGCGCTCGGAAAGGACAGTATGGATCAGACGTCAGACCCCGTTCAGACGTTCGGTCAGTTCGGTGTTGTGAATCGGGCCGGGTTTTTCGCGCATGCGCGACGAGAGCTGTCCGGCCGTCAGTGAAGTATGAATTAAAAGGTGTACCACGTTGGTTGCGACGCAATTATAAAAATTTTTGAAATTTTAGGAAATAATTTAGATATATGCTTATGTAACGTATATTGTGTAATTACACACATATGCACTCACAATTATAAGGAATTTAATTATCTACATTTAATAAAAAGATTTAAAAGAAGGGGAAAGGATATTGAAATAATTTTAATCAGGGTAAGATATTTTATTTGGCAGAAATACTATGGAATGCAAACGTTTGTTGCAGGAGTAAGAAAAACTGCCAAAAACCTTACCAATATTCATGAAACAAATATGTATTTTTAAATTTAAAAATAAATAACATGATATAAATAATTTTAAATTTTACTTACACGATAAAGTTATGAAATATATCAATTCGTCCGTTTTGTAGTAAAATGGAAAAAAATACTCTCTATCAGCAATTTTAAAAGGAATAGAAAGAGGTAACGATTTTTTGCAAATATTTTTATCTGGCCTCTAATAATTGACCCAAAACATTAACATCATATTATACATACGTTATTGTTTTACCGTCATTTTCGCCGCGCATGCGTGAAAAACCCGGTCCAACTCACACCCTACAATCCACACCGACCGACCAGTCCGGCGTCCAATAGCGAAAATTGTCTCCTAGGGATTACAAAGGCTCTAGGGAGTTCCAAGGATTTCAGCCGCATTTCCCGTATCCTGCATCCATCTCATTCGAGGACTCGAAAAATGCCCGCAACAGCATGGCACCGCCAATCAAATTCGCGTTTTTCCCACCTATTAATTTCGATAGTTGTGACGAATTTACATAACCTCAAAGACGCGTAGGATGTTAAAAAAACAGGGAAGTGAAGGAAGTAGACGTGTTAAAAGTACCAAAAAACAAATGCTAGATTGACGACACGTTAAATACCTTTGTAAAAAAATTAGAATGTTAAACAGTAAGTTTTTATTAAAATAGACAGTTGACATGACACAATGATCTGTGTGATTCGATCCGAAAGATTTATTATCCAACAAAAGATGGTTCTACGTACAATCTAGCGCCAATTGCTTATTGTTTTCTCCTAAAAATGAGATTTTTCACTGATATATATCGTTTCAGAAAATCGTACGTCTTGTGTGCAGCGGACTGCGAGTTTACGAGGCTGCAAGTAGCGACCGCAAGTTTATCGAGATAATCCTTAATAATAGAAAAAAAAATAGAAGAGAATCGTTAGAATGAAACTTGCGTCAACTTAATTTATTATGTTTGATTTGTAACATGCATGCAGCCTTCATGCAATCCTCATCCAAATTTAACATGCAGCATTGTATGAAGTCACAATTAGCGCGATTATACTCGACGCAACAAAGCACCAAGTCGAAGAACCATTATAACACGTTGAAGATCACGCCGCACGCTACCCAGACCGAGGTGAAATCGGCGTATTACAAGCTGACCCTCCAATATCATCCCGATAAGAACAAGAGCGAATACGCGAAACAAAAGTTTCAAGATATCTCGGAGGCTTACGAAGTGCTCGGCAATCACGATCAGCGCAAGGTCTATGACCGGGATATGCTGCTGCATCGGCCATCGACGGCGTCGACCACCGTCGAACACCCTACGTCCCACTACAGGGACAAGGTTTATTCGGGATCGTCGAAAATTTACAATTTTGACGCGTGGACGCAGGCGCACTACGGAAAGCAGATGTACGAGAGACGCATGAGGAGGCAGGCGTATGAGCATGCCAAGATGATGGAGACAGAGGCAAGCACTTCGAAGGGCAGTCCTCGGTTCATGGAATTTGCCATTCTCATAGCCACTGTAACGATGCTGGCTGCGCTTTTTTCGGGAAAAAACCACGACGTGCCGGCATCCGAGAGACGCAAGAAAGAAAGTAAAGATACTGGAAATTAGTCTACGTTTATTTATTTGAATAGTATAAATTTGTATATATATGTTCTCACATAATGAATGTACAGATTTTATGTCTGCTTGTCGTTATGCCTCTACTAGTAAAGTAAGAACAACATTGAATAGATCGTGATAAAAAATGACGAGGACAATCATTTCGTATACTCCTTTTACAAAAATGCTATGTACTGTGATAGAAATTGTTATTAACAACACGCAGTTAACTGCGTTCGTGCGTATCCAGATATAGACAGCTAAATATTTCATAAATGGCGTATAGACAATATTTCAGAAACATTTTCGCATTCTGAACCATCGTCTACTATCAACAGATATATAACGAAGGATTTAGGTAGATAACAGTTTATATATTACGCGATGCATCGTCTAATATAAAAATAGTGAAAAATCAATGTGCAAAAGGCATGTGTATGATACGTAAAGAGGATCAGTATTGGATACCTTTGTGTCGCGATCAAGGAAACGTATCGTAGAAAATAACAAATAAATACGCAATACTTTTCACATTAATATGGTCTATAAACTGGCAATCCTGGCATTGGCATAGCTACTGGCCCAGTCGGATACGGTATGGAAGGCGTTATTCCAGGGAAATTTGAAGCGATCGGGTAGCCAGGAGTGCTGTTCGAATGCCCTTTCCTTATCAGTTCGCGCAACTTATCCACTTTCACTTTACGTAAGTGCATTAATTTTCTTCGCGACAAAAACTGATCTAAGAACTCGTCTACTTCGATGTCACCGGCTAGGAACTTCTCTGCTATTCCCTACGCATTGAAAAGATCAAACGTGAATAGTCTCGTCAAACGCGAACCAGTGAAAGTCTTGCTTACCTCCGATTCTTCTTCAATCTCAGCGGCAGCTGCTTGCAGCAGGTCAAGTGCGGTATCGACGGTCATTGTACCAGACTTATCGCCTGCGAATAAATATACAGCGTCGAGAAAAAAATCTTTCTTCTCTGTTAAAATTATCAATACGTAGGATACGACTTACGCATCTCGTCTAATTTACTCCTGACACTGGTGCACAATTGATTGGCCTGTTCGCTCATGTCCTTCAAGACCTGTTTGCCCTCCTCCAACTCGGGTTGTTTGGCCAGATTAAATTCGGCCAAAGATCTGTTGCTCGCCATTAACATTTCCTTCTCGGTCTCGAGCTCCTTAAACTAACATTTTATCACGTCAAGACGGTCTCATTTTTAGAATACAAACATTAACATATAGTTTGTGACTGATGTATCATGTGTAAATCCTTCTAAAAGCAGCACGCTATATACATCTAGATAAATATTATGTACAGATGCAATAACACAGCGTCTATTCTTGCGAACGTCGTTTATTATATATTTAATTGAAAGCATGAAGAATATTAATTACAAAGGAAAGGATACACATTAAGAAATGTATATAATTATTGTACAATGTTAAGTCTCTTCTTGCATTTGGTTTCTAAGTAGAATTGATTCACTTGCAATCGTACCTGCTTTATATCTCTCACGATATCCTCGAATTTCCCATCGTTATTCAACAATTCTTTCAACTCGTCGTTGTCCAGATGAGACAACAAACCCAGTGCCGCAGGTATATCCGGCTCCTGATTCGACTTGTACATCTCTTATAAATATTAATTTGCAACAGGATCGTTGCTTCGGATTATCTCTATCTTTTTTTAAATCTAAAAGCAAAAGCTCCGAGAAATGCGCATTTGCGATAACGTACAATAACGTAATGACAGATCGGACAGATTCACCCTGACCCGAACTCGAAGTGTTTCTCGGTTGGGAAGGAAGTTTACAGTGTCATCTCGCGTGTCGAAAGTGCGCAAAGTAGCGAGTCTATCGACACATGCTAAACGTTGCGCGTGACGTGATTGTTTCTCAAATCGGTAAAACAGTTTTATATTGGACGGTGCAGCCGCTGTACGGTGGACCGGTGAGGAGCTTTTCAAACGTGATAAGCAAATCGATCCCTGGTGCAACAACGGTCGCCTTCCTGGACGCTCCTGGGAGTGATTTTCTCGATCACGAACGAGACGCTGGTGACGTTGAAGGAAGAAACCAGGTGACATGGAATCCGCGATCGGGCATCTCGAGGAGAGCGTGAGTACACGGCGTTTTCCGCGTGAGAGGTATCATTCGAAAGAGACAACGTGACGGTCGGCGGTTAGCCGTTTGCCAAAACGTCAAACGTCGCTCGTGCTGTCGATGTCGAATTTAATACAAGGGTCCCCTCTCGTGCCTCAGGTGCAGAAGGCCGACGGGAAGCTGGACATGATCGCCTGGCAGATAGACGAATTCGAGAAAGCCTTCGAGGACCCGGAAGACGAGGTAGGAGTTCGCTTTTTTTCCGCTTTTATTAGTAGAGATTACCACAGATCACCGTATCAAGTCTGTCCTTTTTAGCTGTATCTTGTTTAACTTGCTCGATAAAAAATTGATATACAGGCTACCAGGCACTGGGAAATCGACCGTCAATTTGCAACTTCTTTAAAGACCGAGAGCTACTTTGAGGCTGTAGTAAAAATAAATTTCAAACTTGTTGGAGAAAAGTTGACGTTTGATCTGGGGACAGCCTGTATATTTGATAGATGAAAATGGAAGGAAATTATTACGAGAAAGTACAACTGAAAAGGACAAATGTATTACGTCATATCTTATAAAATCCTCTGTGACATTGTACTATAACGACAAATTATATTTTGTTTGTCGTACAATTCCTGCTTGAGGCCAGGATAATCCGTGTTTCATTTAGCATTAAATATGTCCTGTGTAACACATTCGTGAATTATTCGTGTGCACTTTTTACTGTCTCTGTGATGTTTTTTCGGATCTTCGATCATCAAACCGCTTTTCATTTTGTGCTTCCCAGATATCTGTGCTTCGGCTATTACACTCTGTGCATCAGGTTACGAAAGATTATCAAAATCTACGGCAAGAAATTTTGGAAGTTCAACAGTTACAAAAACAGCTTTCTGATTCACTTAGAGCTCAGCTTACGCAGGTGCACGGACACTTTAATTTATTGCGCAATAAGATCGTAGGACACAAATCACCGCAGCTGAAATAAGAGCGAGATCCGTTATACATTTCCGATATCTTTTCCTCGTACTTGGCAAGAGAATGCACGTTATTTTTCACGAGATGCGAGTTTAAGTGTCACGGGATTTGGCGGGATTACGCCCACTTTTCGTTATATTCGTAACACGATGTATAATACTTACAGCAAATTGCGGAAAGCGATGCGGCCCATAATTCAGAGAGACTGGGTTGACAACTGTTTGAGAAATTTGTCGCTTTCTGAAGGAATTTTTATTAGAGTCAAAATTATATCTCATTCGTCTCTCGTGTATTGTTTCCGAATATTAAAGACTTTATAGATTGAAAGTAAAACGGAGAAAAGAATGCGTGGAATCGGCATTCGTCACTCCGCAGGATGTTATCGACAAATAACTTATTTGACTTCTGCCTTAAACGTGGCGACGGGGCCAATATAATATACCTATACGCTGACACGTTGAGAATAATATTGAGATGACCTTACATATTGAATTCGTTGTCTACATCACAGCCCCTACCGTTTGTTATTCGACACGTCAACAGATAACGGACAATATGTAACGATACGTTTGATCTTTGAATGATGATGTTAAAATCTTTTAGTAGTGCATCAACTGAATGGCTAAAAAGCGACATTTGTGTCTTTTTCATTATCATTAGATTTATCTGTATATATTTCTACGCCATTTTAAGGACAATGGTTATGAAAAAATTTATTTTTCCTCGTATATTGATCGAAGCTTTGTGAGACTCTGAGATTAGAAGATAAAAGCTTAGCATGATATCTTTGTGCGTATCCACATCTAGCTTTAGGCGAGTTAGATATTTACGCTTTCAGAATCTTGATTTTGATGTCTCGGACAGTTTCAGTACATATGAAAGAATCTGAAAAATCTGAAGCAACAAATTATTATAGTGTGGACATTCTATTATTACTCGATGCTACTAATAATGTCTATATTGCACATTTACGCATAATAAGTTTACACATAATGCAAACACCGTGCATATATGTGACACATCGATTGAAGCCCGATATAATCGAATATATCTGTACCTGTATAAATTTTATTTATCGTTATTATAATATAGAGTAAGTTAATCTTTTATTGTAAAAGTGATCCTACAATTTGTCGGTAACACATTATTTTGCATACATAGCTTAGCCTTTTTATTCTTATACTTTATATAATATAAAAAGATTAAGTTAGAATTAGTTAAATATGAATATTTTCGTATGTTTAATCAGAAATATATAATATTTTTGTCCTTTAAATTTCTAGACAAAAATCTGTTTACAGTGCATATAAGAAATTGTGAATACGTCCCAAATTGGCAATAAATATTTATATAAATATGTTGATCTCTTTTTATTACATATGGCACAACATTGCTTTAATAGGCATATACAACTATTTATTTCTCTTTACATAAAATTAGCAACTTTTGCCTGGATGCAACTTATACAATAAGACATACATATATTACACATATGTAACTGAAAAAAAAAAACTATATACAAAAGTTCCAAAGATACTCTCACAGATTCCTGAATATACGCAAACGCTTATGTGTTCTTAGCACGCTCAGTGTTCTTTCTTCAAATATACACAGAGTGTTTTCAATATTTTCGAATTTGCAGAAAATGAATGTAGTGTGAACGAAGATGGAGGAAAATGAAATAAACGTGTAAAACTATCGTTGAAAAATTGAGAGATGGGAAACAATATTGCCTTAAGACACAAATACGCATTTAATATCTTGGAATTAGATGTACGATAATTATACACTAAACTGTAACCTGTTAACATATTTTCAAGGAGCCTGATGAACGAAAAAAATTATTTTCTGCTTTTCTCCGTAGGAAGACTTCTGCATTATAAACCATCTTATCGAACACGAATATTGTAATATAACTGCTTATACTCAACAATATTTATTATTGATCGATTTACTGTGCGGATCTACTCTTAACAGCGTTATCTCACCGATTGATAAAAAAAAGTAATTTAATGTGTACTGAGTAACTGAGTTTCATGATTTTAAATGCGTTGCTCGCTGATTACACATGCAACATGGCGTTCTGCGTTTAAAGAAAAGTTGCCTGTCCGATTTACCTGTTTTCTCACACGCACTCGATCCGTGTGTGTCTCGCGGGAAACTCCTCTAAGTCAATACTGTCACGTAGACCGAGAGAACATAATTGTGATACTCAGTGACTCGCACTATCTACTAGGATCGACTTTTTATATTGCGATTAATCAAAAACGCACCTAGTCCGAGGTGCACCGAAAATGGGCGAGAGAACTACTTAACTTTTGCACTACACTTATTAATCGTAATATAAATTAGCCGTCGTACCGTCTCGTAGCTTTTATCTGAAATATTAGATATATATTATTGCAGAATATAGAGAAAGAGAGAATACGTATTCTTTAGCGCTGTCAGACCGGAGTCTTACGCATTCACTATTTTTCAATACAATTTAATTTAATACATATTACCATCTCTTCCGCAATGTATATATACACATATGACACAATTTTTAATTGATTACATAAACGCACATTCAATTTTAGCCTTCGATATGTTAATTACTTGTTAAGACGTTAGACAGCGTATTGTTTGTTAATATATGATGTAGAATTAGTTCTAAGAGAAAAATGGTCTGGAACACATTAAAAATGTGCCAAAATTTCGGTCAATTAATAATAAACGTCGTTCATTGTTCATTTCGCCGGAACAGATTGCTCTCGATTTGTTCCTTTCCGGAATCTACATATCACATGCTTAAAATCTTTTTCAACACAATATTGTACTTTTTATCGGAACATTTCCGAGATTCGTGGCTGCCTTTAATCAAAACAAATAATCAATCTTGTACTCGTACAAGTACTGGTTTATTAAAGGACGTGTATCGCATGACTTCTTATGACTTATGTAAATAATTGAACGGGATTAATTGACTCTTATAAAGTTTTAAAATAATGTGCTTGCAATATCGTTACATTAGATTTACGTTCGTTGTATCTTCTCATTCTTGTAGCTTTCGGTTAATCAAGGTCATTTTCCTCAAAATTAAAAATTACTTTCTCAAAAGCAGTAAAATAACCATTTTCTTATGACACGAACTTGTGGTGTATCAGTCAAGAGTCACCGATGAATGTATGTCACCTTTAATCTGTTTAAATACTTATTGTGTTTGGCTATCATATTATACGGTGCGTCCTGAAATAAACGGCTTGTACACATATTCGCTAATAAATAGTGCATACAACCATTACATTCGCTGCATGCCGCACGCATAGGTACAATTACTTGATGGTACATTATTCAATTTACTCATTCAAGTCACAAATGCATTTATGTAATGGATATAATTGTACAGTTAAAGTTCCAGTACAGTCAAGGGCGCATGAGATATCGAAATGTGCTTTAATCTATCCATAACATTCATCTATGATAATTTGAAATTTAAATAAAATAAAATTTAAATAAAAAGTTAATTTTTAAAACACACATCTCCCTATTCCGAAACTCATGTATATACTTTGGTTTGTTATGTATAAAGAATTGCAATTATTATTACACAATTTTTATGTAAATGAATTTTACTTGCTATCAGTACTAAGATTTGCCGTGTACTGGAATAAACTGTATGATTGCGATATCAAAATATTGAAGTTTGTCGATTATTCACGAATCTTTTATTATACAATTGCTCAAAATTTCGATGTATATTAACAATTACGATTCACGAAACGAAAACTGTATCTTTTTAGATATTTATCGTATTACTGTATAATAAATTGTTATCTCCAGCAATTCCCTGGGAGTTCATCATTTTCTATTATTACAACGCCAATACAATTATTGTATTATCATACATTCGAATAGCATAAAGCGATACATAATATAATTCTACGAAACTAAATACATTTCTCTGAGGAAAAAACCGCAAGTTTCTATCTCGCTCTGACGAGGGAAGCTTGGACATTGCTTGAAATGTCAGGTGCGAGGTCAGATGAGCCAAGTAGACGCCTAATCAATTACTCATTTTCCCACGCTGACGCCCACGGCGCAAAAGTGCTTCTCAAAGAGCTCGGACTATTTTGAACGTTACCTTGGGAAGAAAGAAGACGGGGAAATATGCGCCGGAGGAAAAAAAAACCGTCGAAAGCCTTTCACCGCGAAAAGCAAAAGTATTTTGCCTAGATTCGTAACGATTCGTCAACTAAGCTACGTGCATTCAAATATAATGGATAATACATCTGCTCTAAGGAATACGCTACACGCGGGAGATATGTTGCGGGCTGGATTTGACCTCGTGGGTGGATCCGAGCGAGGACCGGTTATTCCGCGCGCGGATCAAGGAAAGGCTTCTCAAATAGGAGCGAAGGTTGTAGACCCTCGCCTACGGCAGAATCCTCTCCTCGCGTTAGGGCCGATAGATACGGCGTTCACAATGCGCATTCAATGCGCACTCGATGGTCTTCCTGCAACATTATAAGCTCGTTCGATGAATATTAATGATGATGCATCGCGAACTTGACCAAATCCAACCACGCAGAGATACAAACTTCCTCTAATGAAATTGTCATTATAATTAACTAGGATATGTACTGTACAGGGTGTTTCGGAATTACCGGATGTCTTTTTAATTATATAGCCTCTGGCTAATTTGAAGTCCGTTTTTTACTTGAGTAGAAATATCGAGAGAAATTGTCATTAGCCGCTACTTTCTAGTTTCTTGAATAAATTTTAAATTAAAATTTTTGATAATTTGTCATACGACGCTCCTTTTTGCTGAGAAAGAAATCAACTCTATATTGGTTGGAGAATTAAAAATTGCAATTTACTCATCAATTTGTCAAGAATTCTAAAACACTCTGCATCTAGGATTTTTTTTCAAATGTTTCAGTCCTCCATCACGGAATTAATCGAACGGCGAGGAAAAAAGGCCATTGGCATTTGGTTCCCGCGTGTCGGATGTACGTTCGAAGAGCGTGTCATTGATGAACCGTGCGGATCTGCTCGTCGATTAGAAATTTTATAGAAATCACCGCGGGCAGTCTTGGCGAGAGAAGATTCCTCATGCGATTCTCTTCCTCTCCAGGATATTTGCACTTCGGCTGGCCGTTACAGCGGGCGGCGCTTTCCGCTCAATTTCCACCGTTCTCGTGGGAAAGTATTCCTATTCCGGTCGTGATGCAGATGTATCCGCGCGGGACGATTCGCGTGTAACGATGCGCTGTGCGGCGAAGAGGCACAATCGCGGATTGCAATATTTATTCTGTTTCGCTTGATAGCGTTCTAGTCCACTAATAAAATACAGAACCTGCAATTTTCCAAATAGATAAAAAAATTCATAGGTATAAAAACTGTCATAGCTATATAAATATTATAACTTTTTCATGATACAGAATAAGCCAGATAAACATTAGAGGCATAAAAGATACATGATATATAACTTACAAGACATAATTTGAAAAATTAGAAATTATTGTCTATAAAGTATCTTCTTCTCCAAAAACTCTAGCCAGTAACGTTGGCTGGACCACTATGTAGTGATGAAATTTCTGATCCGCTACAAAAGCCGGAAGCGGATGTTCGGGAAGCGTATCGAGCGAGTCGTCGGTCGGAAACCGAAAGAGAATCCTGCGGAAGGAGCGAGAGTGATCGTGACACGTCTATCAATTTGTATTTTCCTCTTGACGGTCTTGCCGCTTTGCTGACTTCGCATAGGGCAAGCTCCGGAAATATTTCCCGTCCCGTTTCGAGTGGCCGTCCCGCGAAAGTGCAGCCGTGCTCGCGACACAACGAGGATACGGAGTGCGTTTGCGTGTATGAAGGCTTTCGTTACGACGTCACAGGAAAAGAAGTCCGTGAAAGGCACTGGTCTTTCATTCAGAAATGGAAAGAGCCTCCTCGTCATTATTTCGATCCGTATAATGGCCTAGACGCGTGAGATGCGTGTCAACTGAATGCTAATTATAGTCGGTATGTGTGGGAAAAATTCTATTCTTCTAACATCTCGGTCAGAAATTGTACACCAATGAAAGTGTCATCTTTTGCCTCTTAAAAAATTTTCTTCAAAGATTCAAAAGCCAATATTTCAATAATTCACCAAAATCAGAATTTTCTTTCAAGATATATTCTTTTAAATTCGTTGAGAAGTATATGTCCTTGCCAATTTCTTTTTCATTTTTCCTTATACATTATTCTGTAATTCCGTGGTTCCTTGCGGAGGAAGGAAGCTATCGATCGTCGAACCCGATTTTCACCTGAACGTTCCATCGAGCATGTCGGGACGTGCCAGAGGCAGTTTCCAATTTATGCAGCTAGCGTGTGCTCTTGAGAATTTCATAACAAAATTTTATACGCTGATATTTGGTTTTCGAAAAGGTGCGCTGTTAATTACAGTCTGTTAATTAGTAAGTTGCTGCAATATAACATATTTCATTAATAAATAATTCCAAATATGATTTCTAAATATAGATATAAATATATTTTTATACGTAGCGTGAAATGATTTCTAAATTATTATCTCTAAGAATATGATCGAAGGTGTCTCTGAAGTAAATTGGCGGAAGAGTAAAAAACAAAATTAAAATAAATAGATAAATTAATCAATTTACAATCTCGTAACAACTCCAACTGCTAATGTATATGTATAATATATGTCTATATATATAAAAAAAAGATTCTCGATATAAACTAGTTTAATAAGAAACAACTGGGTACTTCTGAAGTCGCGGTGTCAAACAGCGACTCAAGTTCGCTGGATGAATGTCAACGGTAGTTTTCGAACAATTGCCTGGGACAATCTGTATCATCCTCGCCTCATGGAGTGTGCCGTGAATGCGGCCGAACACCTCGTTCTAATAACCTACTCCCACACCGCCGATCGGCCGGAATGCTCGGTTGGTCGGTCCCCCGAGTCGAAGTCGGGTTCAGTCGTCTAGCGACCGGTTCCGAGGTCTGGGCCCTGTTCGCCACGCCAGGTCTGACTCACTGTCGCGGCCGATGCGAGAGTAGTGCCGTCGGAAAGCAGGGCCTCGCTTCTTTCACATGAACAGGTAAGTGCAAGAAATGGAGTACAGTCAATCTTGCTTAATAAGTTAGAAAAATCGCGACTGAATAAAAGTTTAAATAACGGTGTTTCACTCATATCGGATTCTCCGCCCGATAGAGAGAGATAAGCCGTTCACTTATCACTAAATCACGAAACTAAATGCTTTTTACGTCCCGTTATACAATTTATACCTTGTTTCAGAGTTTTTTATCTTTATTTATTAATCGTTCGGAGACTATTGGCACCTTCGTCCTGAAAAAATGATGTAAAAAAATCCATGAATTCCATCATACTTTCAAATTGACAATATTGGTGAAGGATGCATTAAGGATTAATTATTAAAAATTATGGAGAGATGCTATAGAATTTCTTCTGAATTTCTTTCCTTTGTCCATAGATTCATATACACGCATCATTATTTACTTTCATTGTCTCACAATGCTGGATTGTTTAGATGGGATAACATGTGTCTAGTATTCTTATGTGAGGATAAGAAAAGCAGTTTTATGTGATTAGTTTCTAGATTTAAAAAATTTGAAATTTAAAAAGAAATTCGATGTCACTTGCTTTTATCTTGACTTTATTTTGCAGTCGAATATTTTTCCGTCAGAATTAAAAACAGATTTCTTATTTAAACCTGAGTCAAAAAATTTTCTCGTCAAGGATGTCGCGAGAGGCCATCCACATTATTGCAACTTTTTAATATTATATTTCTATTAGGAATACATTTATGTTTGAAACCTTCAAGTATTTACGAGTATTTCCGTGATGGAGTAGGCCAAGTCAACGTATATATAAATGATTAAAGACGGACTATTTGAATCTAAGATGAGAGTTCTTACGCGAGAATGTCGTGCGGGGTCATAATTTATCTTCTTTTTTAATCCGGCCATAACTATGCATATTGTTCTTATCTTGATTGAATATATTCATATATTTTCTAAGTTCTTACCTTGACGAATATTTATCCCGCGATATCTGGGATACCTTGTGCGTGGAGTGTCGGTGTAACAACCGGTTCAGTGGCTCCTTCGTCATTGTGTCTCTCTCTCTTTCGCGTAGCTTTCGAATGCGGCATTTAAACGCCGACTTTATGTACCTCCGTGACTCCTTCGGGCCTCGGCCGCGTCGAGACCGTGATATCGATTAAGTAGTCGGGGTTCACGCTCATGTCCAGTGTAAAATATTACCCCACAGCGTACCCCGAATGAACGTGGAAACTCCATTTGATTTGACCTTGATTAATGCACGTTCTTGCGATTTCTAATGTACGGCGCGCCGGCTTTCGTGTCGCTAATCGTTGTCGTTGTAATTCGCGTGTGCGTTTCCTCCGTTACTTTTCGAGCGAAACGCTCGGTAGTATCGCGCGGTGAGAGAGGTCATCAAACCTCCGCTCGATTATCTCCATACGTGGTTGTTCACCCGCGAATACACGTTGTTGTAATCATCTTTTGTTCGTAACAATATTGGAGAAATAATAACGGTAAATAATGTTTTGCCTCGCCTTTGTTTTGCCTGTAATCATGTTTGAAATAGTAAATTAACTTGCTTCAAATAATAATAGATTGATTTGATTAATTGTATGTGTACCAGAACGCATAAAGCATAAAAATGAAATGTATGGCAATAAAAAAGAACCTGCTAAATGTGACAATTGTTAAGCACGCGCGAGAAACAGATTGATGGATAAGATATATAATAAAATAAATTATCAAGGGAAACGAGAAGGCATTCTCTCTCCTTCGGATGAAACGATTAGCATAGCGTTCGAACGGCGTTAACGTAGCGTGAATCATTGCAGATACGTAACGATCCATGGCGTAACGGAAGGAAAAAAAACGGAAGAAAAAATTTCGAATTCAAATGCGCGTTTGAGCACACATACAAATTGCATCGCATTTGCGCTTCGATCGGCACTTATCTGATGACTCGCGGTCTTTTACAGAGGCCGGCTCCTTTCGTGACCGACATGCGTTCCCTCGTGCTTGGTCTAACACTAATCGTAAGCCTGCTAGTCGTTAGAAGAGTCTCTGGCCATGGAAGACTGATAGAACCACCCTCGAGGGCCTCGATGTGGAGATACGGCTTCGACACACCTCACGATTACAACGACCACGAGTGCTATTGCGGTGGGTTCACCAGGCAATGGCAACGGAACAAAGGGAAGTGCGGCATCTGCGGCGATCCCTGGGATTCTCCAACGGTGAGTCTTCCTGAAAAGAAGAATCATAAAACAGCACATAAAGTTTTCTTACATAAATCTGGCTCTAAAGTGATCTCTTCAGACCGCTGTCCGTGCAATTATAATTCAGCACGCATCAGCGAATTCTATTCTATTCGTTTTGTCAAAACGAAAATCAAAATTGTAATCTGTTTAGTGCCCACGCGTGGTGCAAACGCGATCAAAGGTGGAGAGGTCTCATCATTATGTTTTAAGATGAGCTGTTTGTCACACAACACGGTCCGCATCGGCCTTGCCGAATAATAGGGATCTGAGAGATTTAATTGTTGATGACAATGGAAAGTCTGCGAAGGTAGTTATTCGCGAGTCAAAGATGATAATCCAGCTGGGTTACACGTATAATTACTTCCCGACGTTCCTCTTGCAACACCGACCACACACCATTACCCGCGATTCTTCGCTCCGTTGACCGTGCAGGAGTACCGCACAATACCGGCGTAATGTCGACACGTTTTCGAAAATTATGCAGAATGTGCGAATGTAGAAGGTCTGCCTGTCGACTGGATTCTTCTATCTAAAAATTAGAATGCCGAAATTTACAAAGGTGAAAAGGTCGCTTGTGAGTGAGAGAGCAATTATCAAGCTTGAGACAAATGTCAAGTCGATGGAACAAATAGCATGATTAACGCGAAATAATTACACGGTCGACTTGATGATTGTTAGCGTCTAATTGTCAATTTTCAACGGGGAAAACTTTCATCAGACGTTTCCGTTCGGAAGAAAGTGCTACCGGTGACTACGCTAACAATATTTTCGACGCTATTGTTCAGACATTTGTTCGTTTCTCCCTTTCTATCCCTAATGAAAGTGAGTTAAATGCTACGAAGCGCGTTTTATTATTCTGAATTAAGCGACGCGCAATGACTCGTGACACGAGAGAAAGATGTAATTACTTTCCTCGCTGTCTAATAATAATAATACGGGCTACGCAACCGTGAATCGATTATCGATAAGTTGTTTGCCTTAAATGAATCACGCATTCGAGCACGCAATGAAATCACACATTCGGAAATGAAAGAGAAGCTAAAAGGTAGAATCTATTACTTCTATAATTCTTCGTATTTCTTGTGTCGCATAAATTAAAATTCCATACAGATTTTTCGAATTCTGTGTATCATAGATCGTCGAAATGGAGCTTCAAGATAGGATAATAGACAAAATTCTGTTCCGGATTTAAATCATTATTGGATTGCAGCATCCAAGATTGTAGACCTAGAATTTTGCTTTCACTTTGATTGCACATGGCAGAATTCATATAAAATTTTCAAAAAAGAAAAAAAAAAGAAAAAGGCGGTGATTACTAATCGCGCCTCTCATAACTTTCATGGTTCGGTCTCCTGTTTCTATAATCGGCCGGTCGCGTTTTCGTTGCGGGGCTTTTTATGCGGGACGCTTGGCCTTGATACGTACATCTGATATGGTACGGACGAAAGTAGCCCGAAACGGAAGTGAAATTCGTTTTCCTCTTTCTCTCTTTCGTCAATATTCGCGTTATTCCCTTTCTCGTCACACACATATATGCAAATGGTGTTCTGAAAGAGAAATATTCTAATAATGTAATATTAGTATACAAGAAAGAGACGTATTATGTAATGTAACAAGTATATAACACGGAAAAGGAACGTACAGTAAATATTCCATTTAATTTTTTTCAGCCACGTGTTCACGAGACGGGCGGCAAGTATGGGAACGGCGTGATTGTCCGGCGTTATCGGACCGGATCGGTCATACCGGTCCGCGTGGAACTGACGGCGAACCATCACGGCTATTTCGAGTTCCGCACCTGCGCCATGACCTACCGTGACCGGGAGGTCACCCAGGAATGCCTGGACCAGCACCTGCTGCAGGCCGAGAACGGATCCACCCGTTATTACCCTGGCCCCGGAAACCGGGTCTTCGAGGGCTACTACAAATTACCGGAGGGTCTGACCTGCGCTCAATGCGTCTTCCAGTGGCGATACATCGCCGGGAATAACTGGGGCGACTGTGGCAACGGCACAGGTATGCCGATTCTCCGATATCAACCGCGGAATGTATTATGCGGCGGGTAAAACGTGGATACCATGGATTACCAAAGCTTCAAAAGTCGCTGTTATTAAGCACATGGATTCTGAAAAAAACAAAAAAAACAAACAAATGTATCATCTATTAAATTTATAGCAACGGGTTAAATGGTAACGGAGAATCAGCTCAAAGTAGGTCAAAGAATTCACATATGAAAGACGATCTGGGACACCTTTATACGGCAATAACGGCATATAGATCTTTTGCGCGAGATGTAAGAAAATGATAGGATTATTTTGCTGCATCGCGAATAATCTAAAAGCATTTTTGAGACTTCTATTTTATATTCTTCATTCGTATATTTTAGTTATAGCATATATGTGTATGCAACCGGTAATCCTGCCATACATCATTAAGATTCTATCGGAGCGATAGAAAGTGCTATTACTTTATCCTACATAATAAGAATGACTCAAGAGTTTTGCGGTTCTTCTTGCATAACATCGCCATTTGATGGCTTCGTTCAATAAGACAAAGCGTGCCTAGTTTGCACCATGTGAATAATTGACATACTATTAATAAACCGCGATGTTAAGGATAAAAACTGTGATATATCGTGAACATTGTTTATATCTGCGTAACTATTATAGGTAAAAAATACCAAATAGAATTTCTCCAAACGTCAAATAAATTGTCAAAAAATCGCACGTTTAGGAGCGGTGGGATGTGGGCCTCAGGAAGAGTTTCGAGCCTGTGCCGATATTGTCATCGGTGATAACGAAGCGACACTACCGCCGAGGCTACCGAAGCAGCCGACCACCAGCTCCACACCCACGGACAGGTTGCCGACGGACACGAGCCCGTTGCCGAAATCCGGGCCGTATTGGCTGTTCAGCGTTGTCATCGCTGGTACGTGCCTGTTGGTGGTGCTGGCCGCTATGGCATTGCTTTACACGTACTACTATCACGCCGGTAGAGCCAAAAAATGGCTTATGGCGAGGAGACTCCTGGCGCAGGAGAGTCCGCCGGTTGCCCCGCCGAGGCACAAAAGGCATCATCACGTATCGAACACGCAGCTTCAGCTGTAGAACTCTGTACTTGATTGTCGGTATCGCACCTTGGAGAAAAGATAGCTCGAAGAAATTTTTCGATTCAATCAATATGCGATATCGTTGTGCGAGCTACATTTTGTCCTAACTTTAAAGTCTGATGTTCAAATATGACAGACGCGTAAATAGCGTTCATTCGTGAACAGACTGTATTTCAAGACGATATATCTTTATACTTGGCACGTACTCTCTCTTGTATATAAATATCAATAATTTTATATATATATATGTATTAAAAGTATTTATTTTATATAATCGTTTATCTTGTGGTATATTTTTTCCTTCATATATCTTAACATGAAATGGAAAGATTTATTTGTACCAACAGTGTAGATTGACTAATACTGAATTAGTAATTATCTATAATCTTTAGAGATTGAAGCATCTCCTAGAACATAAGATTTTTTAGAAAAAGAAACATACATTCACACATGTGTAGAAAAAGTTTAAAAAGTAGAGCACCAAAATATATACTCATACATAATTGAGTATAATGTATACGAAAGTGTTTAACATACAGAAATTTGTAGTTACTGCACATTTGATTTTTTAACGCACATATATATCGTAATATATAACGCACTTTTGCCAAATGAATTTTTAACGGTAAATCCATTCACAGTAAATCCTGTAACAGTACTACTAACATATAAGTATTAATATGCATAGCCGATAAAGCTTTAAAATGAATATCAATAGACTGAGAAAAGACATGATCATATGATAGAGCAAGTTTTACTTTTTATTGAGAAATATGTTCCTAAAGTCCTGATTGCTCATCGACTGCGTATTTCTATCCGGAGCTGCGTTGCCGTTACTGCTATTCTTTTTAATGCTACGGGGAACCATAGACAGCAAAGTCTTGGGCACGCCGACTGCTGTACGGCTCGTCGATGTTCCACCTAATGACTTCACCTGTCCTCCGTTCTCCTCCGCTTGAGGTTTCTTGCGATCGGGCGGTTGACTTATCGCAACGTTGATCACTTTGTCCTGAATCTTCATACCGTCCGTGCTCAAAAGAGCTTTCGCAGCGGTTGCTTCATCGTGATACTCAACGTAAGCCAAGCCCTTCGAGTGCCCATTACGGTAAGTAACTAGGCGAACTTCCTTCAGATCTCCATGAACTTTAAATATCTCCTCCAATTCCTCTTTTGTCAGCGTAAGTGGAAGTCCTTAAACACATTATTGAACATGCAGGAATGACTACGAGAAAATATTATTCGGGGAATTTGAGAATATATGATTTGACTAAACAGTAGGAAAATCGCGCAGAAAAACACGAAAAATAGTTCTGTAACTGTTGCGTGATTTGCACAAACATGTTATACCTTTAACAAAAAGCTTGTTCTTTTCAAGTGTAGAAGTGTATTTGAATACTGAACTCCTGGTACTCTTGTTAGGATCACATTTTGAAACGAACATAGGACGTCCTCTTATAGGTGTTCTATCTAATTTTAAAGCTTCTTCCACAGCTCCCTGTAAAATAGTAAGTTGAACATTATATCTTAACTTAAACGTTTTAAAATTTTTAGGCGAGACACGAAATAAAATGTTGCAATGATAATTTACGAGTATATTTTCAACGATTACATTTCTTACTTTTTCGCACTTAGCTGCATTTTTATTTAATTTAGCTGCATTTTATTTAAAGTTTCCGTTTATTAAACAATAAAATATACGTACTACGCTACTTAATTGTACATAGCAGTATCCTTTGCTACGTCCCTTATAATCTTTAATCATTCTGAATAACGTTATCGGTCCAGCCGGTTTTAGAGCATCTCTCACTTCGTCTTCGGTCGCTGTGTAATCTAAATTACTGACAAAAACTGTAATACTATCGTCTACTTCATGTTGACTATCTTTATCATCCGTATCTTCATCATCTGTCGTTTTATAACCGGGCGGTGGTGCGACTTCTGGCTTCGCCTCCTCTCGATCATTCGTCGTTTTGCTAACAAATTTCAAGATACTTTCTCGTAATTTTGGTTTCACTCGCACGTCAGTTTTTACAATTTTCGATGGGGAACTTCCTAAATTTTTCCATTTGCCGTCATCTGCTTTTCTTTTACTCGCTTTTTTATCTTGCGTGGATGATTCACTCTGAGAAAGAACTTGCTGCGCTTTTTGCCTCTCTGTCATAATTTTATCGAGCTTCTCTTTCGTTTTCGCTTCACAGAACTCCATTTGCTCTAAAGTTCCTTTATCACGCTCAAAATCTATCCATGAGTTCGCTATACTTTCTGGCCAATCCTGCGTGGAACTCAAGGCTTTCTGATACAGTTTCCTTAGATGCTTTGAATCTCCATAACATCTATAAACAAATCAGAAAAATGCTTGAAAGAATAGGACAGTTACAAATATAAATTATAAAACATAAAACTTATTGTTATTCAACTATATGTAATTACCTTTCTAACACTATATATTCCAACCAGTAAGAAGCTGTTGCAGAATGCTCTTGTGAAAGAATATCAGCCCACAATCTTCTAGCTTGTTCCATATCATCTGCATGTATCGCTTCAAATCTCGCCCAATATTGCAAGATAACGCAATTGGGATCGCCATCCAGGCCAAAGTACTTGGCCAAATGCTCACACGCTCTGTTAAACGTCTTACGAATAACATCCAGATACTTCTCCCTCTCTTCGTCAGGATATTGCTCGAGTCTGCGCCGCAGATATTCGAGATACGTAATCCACAGATTGCGATAATCTTCTGCCGTTGAAAAACCAGCGGACAAAGCATTCTCTAATATCTTTTGAATTTCTGATATATGTTTGTCCCATTCCTCACACGATCTCATCCACTTTTGCCAAACTGTCGAGCACCATGGAATATTCCTCGACGCTCTATGATAAATTGGATCCAATACATCCGCAAGCCTCGATACTTTTTCTAGATAAGCGATATAATCCAACCAAATTGACGTTTCTAAGCTCAGATCGGTTATTGCTCTTTCATATAGAATTGTAACAAGATCTAAATTGTTTTGTTTTATGTACAGTAAATATCCTTTGTAAGCGTCAAGCAGTTCACTTTGGCCTTGTACAGAGACAAGCTTCTCTTCATAAGGAAGGAACGACGTCAATTTTGCAGAACTCCGTTTATAGCACTTTGATACGGACTTCTCATCAGTGTCTACTTCCGTACCATACTTTGCACACCACGATTGGTATTCCTCGTACGTCTTATCCATGTCTAAAAGAGGATTAGATAATTGACGTTTAAACAAATTGAGGATGCGTTCCAACTGAGCCTTCTTTCTTCCATTTTCAGTATCGTCCTAGAAATTTAGAATTATTAAATTATATAGAAAAAAAAAAAGGAAAAATAGACAATGTCTACTGGAAAACTTGTTTCTGAGCACATTTACTTCTGCATATCAATGTTCTTAAATACCTTACCGATGACAACAGGCAAGCAAGTATCATATTCTCATATTCGCGATACGCTTCCCATATTATCGCTCCTTTCGTGATATGCATTCCAACGGTGGTCAGGGCACGTTCAAAGAGTTGACGAACTTTGCTGACCTTTTCCTCATCCTTGCCCATATATTCGATGCTGAACTGTAGATATTCCAACCATACTTCCACAGCTGAAAGTACACATCACAATGTCACGACCTCCTTTGTTTGTACCGAATACCAGCCTTAAACCAGGACCCAAAGCACCTGTGAAAAAACTTACATACGTAATCCTTGATAGCTCGCTCGCATAGTTCGACCACCTCAGCCTTCTGCTCGTCGGTGGTCGCCAACTTGACCTCGTCGCTTATCCAAACGAGCCAGAGCTCAGGGCTCAACGGATACATGTTGCTCATATTGTTCCTGGCGGCTCGCAGACGGTCCAGCTCGCCCATCGCGTGCAGTTTGTTGATCAGGGCTACATGACTGGCATAATCGTACGGGTTCGTCGACAAGGAAGCCTCCAGGGCTTTCACCTCCTTCTCGTTGACATCCTCGTCGTCGTCGTCATCGCTCTCGGACTCGGTGTCTGCCGCTTCCTTGTCGGCTTTCTCCTCCGTTTCGCTCGTTACCATCTCTTCCCCGTCTGAAGCTCCTCCCGGAGAAGCTTCTTCGTTTACAGCGTCCATCTCCTCGTCCATCCTCGCAATTCGAGCTCACACCAGTTCACACCTTTGCAAAGTGGATGAAATCTGATAAATCGCTTCAATTCAAATATAACTGATCTTATACTGATCTAACTGATCTAATTGCCACCGGTCGAAGCCGTCGAAGGTTTCAAGGTTATGTTTTTGCGTTTCAACTTCTTTATCGATCGCGTGACACGGCTCCCTCAGATTCGTTCAAGAAAATTTTACGAGATGTCGCCGCTTGTCCAATTATGCTCGCCTGTCACTCCGAGGATCGTTGCTATGGTAACCGAGGAGTCGAGGACGCCAAAACAAACGTCAACGTGAGTGTTCTGCATGTCACATGTCACGTGAGATTATGCTTACAGCAATTCTGTAATTCCGCGACGATGAAATTTGTTGGAAATAATTCAGAAGCGTAGTTTAGAAATTTTACTCTGTTCGCCAAAAATTAAATAATAAATAACAGCCATGAACAAATCGCACAGCGCCTCAGAGTAAAAGATTCTTTCTTTTCTTGTTTACAATCGCGATATGTCTTCCTCTGACGTCGATTTCGTAACCGGACCCGCGCGACGCTCGCAAGACCATCAAACCGAGGAGGATTTCGGTCTCTGCTACGCGTATCCGGTGATCGACGACGATCGGGACACGAGCGGGGTGCTCACGAGGAACAGGAGAGTCTCGCGAGGGTCGGGCGGTAGAGGCCCGTCCGCCGAGGACGGACTTTACGTATCCGAAAGCCCGTTCACTGACAAGCTGGTCAAGCCTTATCGGCTCGACGACGTGAAACCGCTGGACTACGCGGAGTCGCGGCCGCGGTTCCGCGGGAAACTCGTCGAGATCGCGGTGCGGGACGTACGCGTTCACGCACCGCCGCGCGAGGAAGGTCAGGGGCCGACGCCGGAGATCGTCTCGGTCTCCGTGCTCTTCAAAGGCAGGTCGATATGCACGGTGAACGGCCCGTTCAATCGGAAACTGTACAAACTGATGATGAGAAATTCGGGATGCCACGATCTCTCGATACAGGTGCACGCGCGAGACGGGGCGTCCAGCGTTCTTCCGTTACCGTTGCCCCAGCGTAGCGTCAGGGACCACAAGGTGGACATAGATTTCGCGATCGGCGACAACTCGGGTAGGATATACGCCGGGACCGTCGTCTGCACTGTCTCTCTGTCGACGTACGGCAGCAGCGAGCCGGAGGAGACCATCAGCGAGGGCCTATATAGACCGAGCAACGACCCGAATGATCCGCAGAACAGTCTCTCCCTGTCGCGACCTCACAGACGTTCCGCCAGCAACAAGGACGTCAAGTATTTTCTGCTGATGGATCCGGCTCTGATGTTCGACGCGGATGTCGGCGCGATTCGCAAAAAAGCGTCGCCGTGCGACTCGAAACCGCCGGACATGGTCGTGACCGAGCAGTCCGCGTTCTCTCTGCTGGACGTGTCTCTGAAGAATCTGTTCCAGGCCAGCCGGCCGCTCAGGCCGTCGTCCAGCACTCGTCGACGTCATCCCGTAGGGAGAACGATCCTCTCCGTCACCGTACTGCGCGGAGTGGAGGTGCCGGTGAGAGAGGAATCGGCGCTGGTCAGCCCTCTGCTGGAGGTGGAATGGGGCAACGTCGTACACGCGACCGCGACGGCGGAAGGGCCCGCGCCCATCTGGCAGCAGACCATGCACTTCGAATTGCCCAGACAGAGCGGCGAGCACTGCGTGAAATTTCGCCTGTACGATCAACATCCGGTTTGGGGCCAGCAGTGGCTGGGCGAGGCGAGAATACCCCTGGAGAGTCACCGGAATTATCAGGAGCTCGAGCGCTGGATCGCCCTGTCCCCCCTGTTCAGTCCCGTATTGTCGTTCGGCTACGTGCAGGCCAGCCCGGGTCGCTCGCACACCCGGATCTACGCGCTGATGAGGCTGGAGCAGCCCGGTAACGCCAAGTCCTTGGAAGCTAACGCCATCGATACTTTGTTAAAGGGGATTCAACGCTGCCTGGCAACCCCGTACAGAATAGCCGGTGTCGAAACTCCCGACGACGCTGCGCGGCTCGCCATGCTTCTGCCGTCCTTGCCGATGCACTACGGCCCGGTCCCGCCGCGCCAGGCCTTAAGCGTCAACAAGGTGGATCACTACGGCAGAGCGGCCTTGCTGGCGACGCTTCTTCAAGGTCTCGGCTTGCAGTCATATGTGTTGTTAGGTATGCCAACTTGACAGAGATATCTAATAATATATGGTACAACCTCTTAAGAAGAACTCTTAAAAAATATTTTCTCAAGTCTAATTAACTATAAATCGATATGCATAAAATAATTACAGATATACATGGCATATAATTTCTATCTTGAATATATTTGTGGACGCAGGTTCGTCGCAGATAAGCCGATGGACCGCGTTTGTTTTGAGCATCGAGGAAAACGACGCCGTCCTGTGGGATCCCGAAATCGGGGATCGTTATAAATTGAGCGACAGTCGCTGTTCGCTGATGAAAGTGTCCCGCTTGGTCAATCACTCTGGCGTAAGTGTAAAACGATTAATTCATCTCTCCAAACAATCACAGGTTTATGTTGACAAGTTTTCCCTTTTTCCTCGTCACTTTTTTCCGTTCCATAGCTTTTTTCCATTTTTATAACAGCATTTTTATTGTAGATATGGGAAAACATGCAGAAATCTACTCTGCCTCACAATTTGAGATTTAACGTGGCGATTAGTAAGGATTGGCGGCCACTCGTACCTGTCGCCGCACCGGCCGGCAATCGACCCGTTCAGACTTTGGAATCGACGGTGATACCGATGCCCGAGGAAGACGCGCAGGAGAAAGAAGGCGCGCCGGAAGTGGAGCAATATTTGCGAGACAAGTTGTCCGGCTGGCGCAGCGCTCTCGGTTTAACAACGATATTTAATCGCCACGCGGTAAGTGTTTTGCGAGGCTTCGTCTCCGACATTCCGAACGATGTGGCGCGTCAAGTCGACAAGAGGGACCTGAAACAATTGTACAGAGCTTATCACACGCACGGTTTCCTCCTGAATCTGCGTCAGACCGCCTTTGACGAACTGGCGGAGCAAATAGCCGCCACGAAGGTTCACCGTATCACGGGCCCCGTCGAATTTGCCCTCGTCTGCCACATGCAACGATACGTTGGCAAGACGTGCTCGATCTGGTTGGCTCTAGCGATTTTACGAAGTCGTGGTTAATCGCGACTCTTAATTGCTTTACCTCCTTTCTCGTACAAAGATATTTGGGATCTTCCCAATCGATGCGTCTAAAAATTAAACAAATATTTGTAAATATTGTTTGGTAACGACATAGATAAGAAAAAAATTGTCTCCTGAAGAGTAATGGCTCTTGCAAAATACAAGCTTGCTACTTGCAAGTGGCTGCCATAATGTGAATAAACAATTTTGGATTGGTTTATATGTCGAAAGCTAATCGTTTCTCAATATTTTTACTTTCCCTATAACCGCATGTCGTTACATCGTGAAAGATTACGATTTGTGCAGCCATTTACGTGTCTGATACAATCTCATTGATCTGTGTACAATATTGGTTGCTTTAAAGTAATTTTATTATCTATAAGATATATACAATAAAAGAACACGGAAAAAATATTGTATACATAATATTTAATACCTAACAGTTAAAATAAGAAAACTTTGTGAAAACTCTTATTGAAGGGACAAATAAACGTAAACCATGAAGAATTAAATAATGCATTTCTTTGTTTTAAACTTTAAACATTGCGCAGCAATGCCATTTTTATAATAAACTGCATCATCCGCTATAATGATATATATGTATTTATATAAACACATTAACAATACAACGTAATTATCTAAATAGAGAAATATGTTAGGAGAGGAAACACACGAGCCCCGCGCAAATGAACATAATCCATCGTCGCAAATGGTTATCTTGCAATTTATTTAATTGTTAATTGACTGCCGTTCGTAAATTTCGAGATAAGAATACAAATCGTACGTTGGATGAAGGACAGATTCTCCGTAATTTAAGATGTGTGATAGAACAATCGCAGTGGACGTTTTCTCTGCTGCATTTTTTCATTGTTCACATTTTTTTTTATTGCTCTCGTAGTCCTTATTGCGGCGAAAGCGCGTCACTTGTATGTACACATCTGGATTACTCGTTGTAGAAAAGCGCCGGTATAAAAACTCGTTTAATCGAGCAATACCTGTTTTTTTTTCCTAGTTACTCAAATCTACACTTGAAAACGAACAGAAATCTGTCGATTATATCATATTTAAATGTATGTTTGTTTTGACGAAAGCGAGCGGATCTCCGTGTATCGCGTATACCTCCCCGTTTCTGTGCAGATCATTCAGAAATATAACTGCGTGATAGGCATCCCGAATTGTGACTTCTAAGCATCGATTCATACAGAACTGTTGCTCGTACGCGAAACGGCACTTGCGAAGTTTAATCCAATCAGTTTCAATATATATTATACGCACACATTCGCATACATCTCGTAATTTTCACAAACTGACGGATCGCATTGAGTTTCGAGCGTTCCTGTTTCTTTCTAGACCTTACCTTAACTTTAACCCTTTTATGACAATCTTCCGTTGTAAGCTTTTCCATCGAAAGTCTCTTTCGCCGTTCTCCTTTCTTCCGTTTTTTCCCTGACAGTTTACTTCTCTATTTTCATCTATACACGCACACATACGCGCACATTTCCCTCCTTCCGTTACGACTATTTTTCCGGATAATCTTACATTTAGGGAAAAACTTATTCGTCGACTCTGACTCCCTCTTGAAAGAAAGATCGTTTGCTTTTCTGATATTTTGCTATTTATCTTCATATAAGTGATACATAAATCTTTCCGCTCTTCAGGCCCCTAAATACATAATTTATTCACGTGCGAACTCTCATCCCTGCAGGCGCTAATCGCTACGAAACGCATTCGGTTCTGAACCGTCTCTTCAGCGTATGTCTGTTAATATATGTACAGTTGCTGGAATCAGCGTGGCGTCGCGAATGTACAATTGCTGATCCGATAACTTTGGAATCACGGTGCTAAATTTTTGCCTCGCGAAAGCACAAACCCGGCAATGTGCGGGATCTAAGCGAGAAATTTCCGTTTCTTTTTTCCCCTTGGCCCTTTTTTCGTGTTTTTATTTATTTATTTAACGTTAAACTACTCCTGTCGACCACGACGCACCACTCGACGCCGACTGATGACCATGACTATTTCTTCTTCGTCGTGTGTCGCGAGTACGGTGGATCGGGTATCCCGATAGGGACACCCTCGGGGAGAATCGCCTCATTGGGTCTTCTTCTTGGTCGTCTCGTTCGTGTAGCCGTTCGCGTGCCCGTTCGCGTACCCGTTCGCGATCTTCCCGTTGCTGACCGCGCCGTCGAGTTGCGTGCTCATCATCAACATCTTCTCGGCGGCTTTTAGCTTCTCGAGCCGCTTCTCCGCGTACACCTGTTTACCCTGCAAACAAACGTCAGTCATGGACCGATAACGCAGATATGTATGTACATATATGGACGCGAGATAACGCGTCTCCTCCTCTATTATGAAATCCGCGTCCTTACCTTCGCGATGTAGGCTTTGGCGTAGAAATTCCCAAACAAGACGATGAAAGACATCATGTAAATTACGAGGGCGTACTGCATCCAGAGGGGGAAGTCGCATCCCGAACGGATGCCGTTGACCCCCAGAATCAAGGCGCTCGTGAACTGGATGAGCTGGAGGATCGTCAAGTACTTCTTCCACCAGAGATATTTAGCTACCGAAGGACCTAACGCGGCGAGTCCGTAGTACGAGTACATCAGCACGTGGATGAAGCTGTTCACCATCGCTGGCAGGAAAGCTGCAAGTGTGCACGCATAAACGTAAGAATCTTATCGGATAATTCTTTCGGTATAAATTTTAATAATCGTTCAAAAGATAGAGCGTAACCAACGTTTAGTTTTCACATATCTCTACTTTCCACCGCAAAAACTTTTAGCTACACTTGGCGAATGCTATTAACATTTATCTAAGGATAAGCTTAATGCTGCTAATAACTGCAGTCGCTGTTCAAGTCGACTTAAAGTCCACTCGGCCAACTGATAAGTCGACTTAAAGCAATAATAATTAATGTTAATTATTGCAGCACGCTGGAATTAATATCGAAATAAAGATGCACTTACTGGATCCGCTCGGTACCCATTTAATACCGATCCACCATAACGAGAACATGGTGGAGTGATGATAAACGTGGAGGAAGCTCAACTGATTGTCCTTCTTCCGCAAAATGAAGAAGAATGTATCGCAAAATTCCAGAAGCTTGCTAAAGTAGTACCACCAAACCGCGTCAGCAATCTGAACATATCGAAAATAAAATTTTCCTATTAATATATAATTTATTTCAGATCGAGAGCATGCTTTTTTTACGGTTTCTTGAAAAACATTCTTGTATGTTATTAATATTAATTAATATTAATATTATTAAACTCTCTAAAATAAATTGATTTATTTTTTCTTTATATGCATTATCCAAATAATTTGGCAGGACAGAATAAGAAAAAGGGCATTTATTTTTAATAATAGACACGTTTTTAAGCTAAAATGTAAAAGAAAAATAGACAGGAATATAATCTTTGAATATTTTAATTTTTCATTTTACGACAATTCTCTTACCTGAAGCTCATCGGGACGCGTGATATGCCTTATTGGCTGGCATACATAACTATATTGTAACCTTGTGGAAGCTACGAACAACTGCAAAGAATACAGAGAAATGCCAGATAAGCAATAGAAACCCACTTTCAAGTGAAAGTGACTGCATAGAGATAAATAAGAAAAATGAAGGCAAGCTCCGTGATATTTTCCCATCGTCGAGGACAGGAAATGATATTCACCTGAATGGCAATATAAGCATTAAGACAGGCCATGGCAAGGTTGTAGGGCACCAATGCCCACGTTAATTTGAAAGCTTTTCGTTTCTTCATGACCTTAGGACCCGCCCAGACGATGAGGAGGTACAACATCGTATATATTAACGTTGGTTTCGGCGAGTCAACCAATAACCATCCTCTCGTCCTCTCGTCTAAAAATCGAAACGTGTTTTATAAAGAATCTAGCGATACATGCCAGATCGTATTTATTTATCGTAAAATATTAATCGTTACAACTAAAGCGCAAATTTATTGTATAATAAATTTATATAATCACATTATGTAAATTAAAGCTTGTTAAAAACATCTAGCCAAAATTACAAGACAAATTTATTTAAAAGCAAATAATTTAATACTGCAGAATATTAGAGAATTTCTAATGTAATAGACTTTCAATATAACAGATTACCTGCGAGGGACAGCGTCCAGAGGTAGTAATCGTACGCATCGTTGAAAAATTGTGCTGTCGAATTGATGAAGCTCGCCATCGCCTGCAACACAAAAAACCGATCGCACGACTCTAGTAATCATCAATCAAACATCATTTCTATTGATACGATAAGCCGCTGCAAGTACGTCGATTTTTCGTGATGAGTGATTTAATGAGATAGCACTTATATTGCACACATCTTGTCTTCTAGAATTACTTTGTCAAAACCATGTCGAAACTTTTAAGCAACGATCGAGGCGTTATAATGCAACTTTTTCATTTTATGCGTTTGATGCACTTTAACGCTGTTACATTTATGTATTTTTATACCGACGTAGCAAATCGAATACACGCGCGATCGACAAACTGCCACCTCGTATGAAATAATTGGGCCACTGCATTCCAATGTATGCGCAATTGATTTGAATGAGTCGTAACAAGCACAGGCTTGTTCACTTTAGTTTTATTTCCTGAAGAATACCTTTCTCTCTCTCTCTAACAGACATATTATATATATATATATATATATATATATATATATATATATATATATATTTGAATGTACAGAAGAAAGTAAACGCGGTTAGAGCGAATAAATCGTTTGCGTTTACGCGCGCGTGATATTAAGACATTTGAAAGATCGACAGTCGACCAGTTAAACGAAACATGCTGTACGTGCATCAGCTCACAATTAGTTCTTAATAGCTATTTCCTCGATGCACATCATCCGGTCGTTCACTCGCCGTATATACCGCGGAACATAACTTTCACGCTCCGAAGAAACTATTACCGCTATCTCCCGAAGTCGCTTATAAACGTGTCCCGCCGCGAACACTTGTTTCTTTCTGTATATTTTTCTTTTCTTTCTTTCTTTCTCTAAGCAGCTTGTTGTCAAGTCGACGATCCATCAACTAGGATATCCTTTGAGGAAAGTTACTTTCCTTGAGCGGAGCGATTTCGCATTGAACTTGGCGTAATTGTTGCAATTCTGTGGCTGTGCCACGTATGTTTAAGAAGGGAATAAATTAGGTCTCGCCTCTCCATCTATTTTTCAATGGAAATTAGAATAATTGCTTCGCGGAACGACGAAAGAGAGCTCATCTTTCTTGCAAAGATGAATCTTTGTCTCAGAGAGAAGACAAAGATTTTTGTCACTGAGATATATCTCGAAAAAAAATCTCGGAGAAAAGGCTGCCAAAAATTCACCGGAGAACCTTCTCTATAAGTGGAAACTGAGAAACTTTATGCAAAATTTTCGATGACCGTGAGTTTTCACGGCGCGTGACAAACTGTTACTTCACCGCACATATCATTTATTTACCTATGTACGCGTCAGCATTTACAAATGTGTCAGCAAATGCAATTGTCCGTATTCATGTAATGTACGTTGCAAATCGGAGTGCTAATGGACGACGATTTTTTTTCTGAACGTTGTGATAAGTATCAAATCTTTATAATATTAATTACCATCGCCGAGGAAAATTACACACCCGGTAGAGTTTAATTATTATGAAGAATTGATATATTTGTTATAAATTTTAATTAATCGTTACACGGAAATAAGTAAATCACGAAACATTCGGACCTTGAAGACCTTTCGCCTTTTACGCGGATGATAAATCGAGATAGGATGTGAAAGCTCTTTAATAATAATAAATAACGAAGAAAATCGCACATTCTTGATCAAAGTCTAAGCACTTGAATTTCCAATAATCCGTGGCGTTTCTCCTTTTACACGCGAACTGAATCAGCGAATATTAATGACGATGCTAATGATGATGATCTATTAATTGGCAGACAAATGTAATCTGCATTGTGCAAGTATTGCATGTATTAATAACGGGAAAATGCGATTATTCATTTAATATAATTGCTTAGAACCTTCAACGCAATATAATTATCAATATACGGTCATTAAGCACTGTATGATACGTGACAATGTGAAAACTGCACTTTCATTTCGGATGGAGAGGCATAGATAGGTATAGATAGGTAGAGGCGAATGAAAGAAATCTTTGAAATTCTTCGTTGAAGTATACCCCGATCTTCGTTCAAGTGCACCTTACTCGTAACGACAGATGTAGCTTCGCGAAGCAGACAAGCGATACGTATCTAGCGAAAGTTAAACTTGTAATGAACGATGTAAGTACAAATCCATATAAATGATTCGATAAATCTGTAAGAAGCTTATTAACACACTACCGAAGATTAACCTATACCTATATCTACCGAAGAGGTCAAAATGAAAAAAAAATAGAGAAAATTATAAAATTTATAAAAATTAATTATCTATATATTTAAAAAAAATCAGAAAATTTCCAAAATTGTGGTGTTTTAAAAATAAATATCTAATTATTTTTAAAAATGTCAAACAAGTCATTTTGATCCTTTTAGTATAGATCTAATGTTAATAGAGACAACATTTTTCTAAAATCTTTTTTTGGATAGAAAAAAAGAAAAAAAATAACGCACGTAAGATTTATTCATGACAACGGAGAAGTTAATTATAAGATTGACGATGAGAGAATTATAAATGTTCCTTTGAAATAAAAACTTCTCATTAATGGAACATTTAATTTTTTATGTAATTAATACACATATATATTTATATCAATATATATAATTATTTATGTCGACATATTTTCTCATTTTAATTTACTCATTACGTTTTAAAATTTGAATATTCAGAAAAATGCACGATTCATATAAATATATGTATTAATCATATATTTATAACGCTTATAAACGTTCCATTAATAATTGATATTCGAACGAAATATTTAATTTCAGTTTTTAAAATATTTATAACATATTTCTTGTACACTGCGAAAATAGCATAAGCTTGTTCTTTTAACTTTTAACTGAATTTAATATTTTAACAGTATCATGATAAGATATTTCCCGATTTTATTGTTGACATTTCTTTCAGCTGTTTGTCGTAAAAAAATTATGTAACTAACACGACTGCACTTTAAACAAAATTAAAATACCTTTGCGAAATTATTAAATGCTTACTCAAGATTTTTAAGAATTAGCAAGTTTGCATAAGAATTGCATATTTCCAAATGTGATATTTTGCGATATTTTTTCTTTTAACAACACCAGTAAAATTAAAAATCAATTTAAAGAAATCGTATATAACATACGCTAGCATGATATAGAAACTCTGAAGCAAGTTGCATTGAGATCTTGACGATCTTGTGGAGTTCTTAAAATAAGAAAAATGATCGCTTTATATTACTTTGCGATATAAAATAGATCTGAAAATATCTGTTTATGTAATTATCAATTACGCCTACATACTTATGATGTACACTGAGCTAATTGGGCACGAACAGGGAAAAAGTTGTCAATCAAGTTTCTTATCGCGAAGTCGCCCATACGCGGAGTATGTATAACGCCCGACTTGGAGAAGGAAGCTTGTTCTCGAGGGGTGGAAAGGACTTTCTGGCGTCGTTCCTTAGTCAAGAGTACCTTATGTACCTTATGTCACGAGTTCGGGTCCTTGTTTCTTGCGTGCGTGCGACGGGACGTGGTGGCGCGCCAGAATCGTGGTCCGGGAGTATTACAACCGCACCCGCGACTCCAAATGTCAAAATGACATGGCCCGACGACCGTGCGCCTCAGAGGATGACACCGCGCGAGAGGTGTCCGTGTCCGCCGGGGGGGAAAAAAATGCCTCTCCTCTTCTTCACACGAGAACGGGAGACAAACCGTGGCACGTTGTGGTCGCCCGACAAAGTGGCAGCGCCGCGCATCAGCTTAGCCGGTCCGCTTTATAACTTTGGTGCCTCGGTATCCTCCGGCCACCCGTGGGCTTTGGTGGTGGTCGATCGGCACGTCGGAGGTGGTATCTTCCGCGAGCGTAAACGATGTTGAAGCAAACGAGGCCAAAACTTGTGGATCGTGGTGGGAAATCGATCGTGGGGATAGATCAGCCGAGATCGGTCAAGGCAAAACGCGCGAGGTAGGATCGCGGACCCCCGGGATCCCACCCTCCGTGATCGTCGCCAGTCTGCCTGCCCCCCTATCGCCGGTCTCGCGATGGGATCTACGAACGGAGACAACGGACCCGCGGGCCTCTGCCTCTGCTTCTCGTCTCTCTGCGCGATTTCTACTTCCGCTCCCAGTTTGACGAACTCGGAATCTATAGGCGATCTTTCCGTGCAAATTGAACTTGTCGAATAAGATGAATAAAGCATATAAGAATGAGAGAATGTGACCCCATATGTTATAATTTTCACTTTTTTAAGCCACCCCTTCTTCTTGTTCGATTTTCAAAATATATTAAAGCATATAATGCTCGCTTATATAGTTTTAATGTAATCTAATATAAACATAAAATTAATCCGTTGAATATTTAGATATATATGTTTATGCATTTGCTTATTTCCCGAAAATGACTATAATTTTATATGTAGACAGCATAACGCATGAAAAACAATAATTGTCTCAATACCGTTTAATGTTTTGACTTTATCATTGCACTTCTTGTATAAAATTCTAATTTTATTTTTCTACAGAACTTGAGAATTTGAATAATTAAAAATTAATCGAGGTATGTTGATTGACCCAACTGGCCAATTTTAATTGATCAAAAAACGTTTCGACCGTAGATTCCGGTCCTTTTCAAGCATATATACACACAACTCACAAATATTAATTAGTCAGACATAATGCCCAAATTACGCCGAATCTAAAAACTAAACGACAAAATTGGGCATTCCGCAATAAATATGAAAAATATATAAGAAAATCCATAAATGATTATATAAACCAGAAACGTTTTTTGATCAATGGCCAGTTGGGTCGATCAACATACTTCAATTAATTTTTATTTTTCTAATCATAAAATCTAAATTAAAATTTATAATTTTGCATATCATACTAACAATAAGCGAAATTTAAAAATTTGAGATATAGAATAAATTAAAAGAATCAGGAAGCAAGCAATTAATCACGCTTTAACGAAAATTACGATTCAGCAAAGACAGTACACATTTCAACGGCAGGCAGGGATATAATTCAGCAGGCAACGAAACTCGGCGATTTTATCGTTTC